CATTGAATGTCAACTTTGACGTGCGATGTCGACCTCCCCTGAGAATGTCGACCTTTCGAATGCGACTCTGTAGGTCGATCTCTTGAATGACGGCTGTTGAAGGGGCGATCTTGAGAGTCACGGTTTGATGTCGACCTCTCCTGGGAATGTCAACCCTTTAGGTGCTACTGTGAGGGTCGATCTGTAGTATGTCGACTTGTAGAATGACGTCGATCGTTCGTTGTTGGTTGCGATAGCTCTCGAGTTCTACCCTGTTCAGAGGTCGATGTCGACATCATACTTCTGGTCGATATGACAATAGTCACGGTGGTATCAACCGGGATAGACTGATCCACAATAGAGTTATGGCTTGTTGAAATAGAGTCGACTGGTCGAGTGCGACCTCTGTAGGTGGACATAATTCGGTGGACTGGTTTTTGTTCGTCGCCGGTACCATATGTGTGTTTGACGTATGCTTGGCCTGAGTGTTCGTAGCAGTCGATGGATCGCTGGTACTTGCTGATTGGGAGAAACTGTCGGGAATCTCCTCGTCCCAAAAACTATCTGAAACAGCATCCTCCTCGAATCTAAGCGATGTTATGGTGGCTGGAGTGGTTGCTTCACCACTGATTTCAAGGACGGACTGACGCTAGCCATCTTTTGCTCTTCGTCCGTGCTCTATGCTCTTCGATTTGATCTAGGATCTCCGTTCCTCTTTTGGGATTTCTTTAGGTAGCCTCTGGTGAAAGATGTGAGCATTCTTTGCATCTGAACGTAGGCGTGGGTGTGCGGGCGAATGAAGCTTAGAAGCTGGAAACTTTGTTTGGGGACGTTTCCACACAAGGATCGGAAAAGCGAGCGAGTTAAAATTTAAAGTCGCATCGGCATTATTTCAGTCATAGCGACGATGGGTCGGAAGAAGAAGGATGAGATGCACAGGGTGAGATAGGATAAGTTTAAAATCTTTTGCATTTTTGGAAAATTGTGTTCCATGAAATAAACAGGCCTCAGGGGAAAATGAAATGACTGCAAAGGTATTGCCATGTTAGATTATATAAATCAAAGATTCATATCAAGTATTAATTTCGCATACACTCTTGGGTTTCCACTCAGCAGACACTCAGAATGCCAAGCAGGGTTTAGAGAAGATTACTCTACGACTGATTATATATTTACTGACTCAGTAATATATCAGAAAGAAGCGTGGAAAATTTGAGCGTATTTTTGTGGACACCGTGGATCGAAATAAGCTTCTTTATACGTTGCTCAGTAAAGGTTTACATGGTGAGATTCGACACTACCAAGACGTTTATATAAAAACGTAAAAACATTAAATGTCGTAAAAGTAACATGACTGATGCATTCAAAACAAGTGTAGGTGTAAGACAGGGACGCATACTATCACCACTTCTTTTTTCTTCTACATTGAACATGTGAATGATATTATGCACTTTTATTGTAATGGTATTTTTGTAGACGACGTTGTACACGCATTATTGATTTTACTATTTGTCGAAGATGTTGCAATATTTGAGATGCTCTATATACACATTGTGCTAAGTAGGGCGTATATGTAAATACCATCGAAACAAAAGTTGTTTTCAAGAAAGGTGGAACGATATCTTTATTTGAAAAATGGTTCTTCGTTCCATAAATACTTGATGTGGAGGCATACAACAAATATCTTGGCTTAACAATTTCAGGTAAAAACATTTTTACAAAAGCACGTGAAGTACTTCCAATGCAAGCAGATAAAGCGATCTGTTCAGGAGCGCAGTTTAATCTAAAATTAAGAACTATATCTGATGAATCACTGATGAATCACAGGCGATACTGATGTGCGACGTGGAACTTTGGAGAACATTAAATTGCCACAGCATTGAGAATATCACTTCATCAATATTAGTCAGTTATACCTATATTAGGAATGCCATTTAAATATTTCGGGTAACAATTTGTCTTCAATAAACCATGCTTGTCGTAAGAGGTGACCAACATCATGGGGTCGTCAGGCTTTATTCCTCATGTCCCACTTGCCTAGAACAGATTTTAGGATGCTAATCACTGGATTGTCTCGTCCAGACTCGATTATTTACAGACAGTCGTCATACAGCTGGAATACTGCTCAGTGTGATGTTAAACAGCAAAGAAAAGATATTAGAAGCTTTGCATCATACATGGTAAAATCGTGTAAGACATCTACAGGACAAAGTTAGAAAGGCCGGCCCTTGAATCGCAGGCTCTTTCGGGTCAGATTCTGATGAAATAAATATTGCCATACATATTTTTGGGTTGTTTTTTTTGGTAGACAAGATCTTTACAGATGTGGGTTGTTTTTTGGGTTCAACCTTTAGTATCTCTGATACAAATCTGTCCTTATCTTTTAAGACCAAGTTTCCAAAAAGACAATGAAAACACCACAAATAAAATTCTTTATTTAATCACATTTCCAATCATATGAATAGTGAAAATGTGATTAAATAATAAGTATCATGGAAATGATACCTATGTAGGTCAGGGTTATTTCCCAGTTATTATGACTATAACAGTCGTGACAACATTACAACATATTGTTTCAATCACACAGCTTGTTTATCCTTTTCATTAAAAAATAATTGATTTTAGCATCAGATCCTGCCAAACTGTTTTGAAGTGATTGTTTTTGAGCAAACTCTCCGGTATGGAGAAATCCAGTAAAATCCTAGATATTTTGTTATATATGTATACATGTCCAGCATTACTTCTTAATGCATATTACTGATTGTTCTTGACAAAGAAAAAGAGCTCTGTGAAGATCTTTCTTGAAGAGAGGCCAACCCCATCACACAGCTCTCACGCGACCAGGGAAAGCGACGTCACGGATCACCACATTTCTCTTGTCACTAGAATAAAGACCTGTTTGTTTTTTCATCCACTGAACCCTCACGTGTTTTACGTATTTGAGTTGATATCCTTGTGCTTGTCTTGTGCATACGGTTTGTATCTTTGTACATGTTTTAAGCTTGTGCATTACTATTTTGACACCTGTTGGTGTTCTTTTTGAAGAACACAATGGTATTCTCATGTGTCTTGTTGTTTCAAGTAGCCGTCTTGTTTATTTTAGGTGTTATTTCTTGCCTGGTACCTCATCTCTGTCGTACTCATGCGTATTGTTTGTTATTGCATGTTGTCTTACGTGTTTCGTAATCTTGCATTCGTAAACCCACGTAGTAAACAAATTATAGCATACATAATTGGGTGGGGATGCATTTTGATTTAATCCTGCTTCATTGCAGATGGCATGTCATCTTGTTTCAAGTACCGGTGTAGGAAGTCGGCGTGGGATCCTCACTCCTTGTGCTTAAATTGTACATCTCCATGCCTCAAGTCTTCTCAATGTAAAGACTGTCTCCAGCTTTCCCCCACAGCTTTCAGGCCATACCTCCGAGAGGTCTAGAAAGCGGAAGTCACAGCAGGCGAGGAAATGCCAAACACTTCCGAGACCTCACCTACCAGGAGGGCTGGTTCGTCAGTTTCCTCGGACAGGGACTCCCCGGCCTCCACTACGGCCATAATGTCGTCCCACACGGTCTCCTCTCTACCCAGAGCACCCTCACGACTGCCATCACGTCGCGCATGGCGCTTACCTCCCGGAAGGCGCCTATCCAGTCCACCGTACAGACGCCCTCAGACTACGGGTTCCAACAGGTTCCAGCCGCCCATGATGGATTGCTTTCTCCTCCAGTACATTCAGTACTTGCAGACCTTGGAACAGACGATAACGCCTTCTGCCTCGGCCCCATTGCCTATACTGACGCCCCTACAAGCGCCGCCCACAGCGCCTATACATGCGTCTCTCTAAGCGCTCTATACAGACGGCGTCTATCCACCAGATAGCGTCTATACAGATGCCCATGCCGCCTTCAGCGCCTCTGACCGCCCGAAGTGAGCATCAACGGGTGTCAATATGTCCTCCGGCTGTCGATCCATAAACTACCTTCCATTACTCTTTGGACTCTGCTTCGCCCAGTACCTCCATCTTGTCAGATGCCCTGTTCTAGGAACTGCTCTCCTGTCCATCGAAGCTCTAACAGGAATCTCACAAGACCAGGTTGCAGACTGGCTGGCGGACAGACTTGAGGGAAGCGCAGCCTCCGCTGGCAAGGATGTGGATAGCAGACTCCATTAGGGTGTACCCCACGTCTATACCACCAGATCCTCTCATCAAAGTTATGATCTCGGCCCTCAGCAAATTCTCACTTACTCCATTCTTCAGTCCTAAATGCTACAGAAGGAGGGATTACCCGATGCACTTTCTCCTTGTGGACCGCACCCATGAGCTTGACAAGGATCTCCACCGTATGACTGGATCCAACTGTCCCACCTCTATGTTGACACCAAGCTCGCCTATGTGGAAACCGAGATTCATCGCTCTCTCAAGCCATTTTCCCTCATGGCTTCGACGTCCAGGGCCATTATCCAGGACGAACATATGCGTTTTCAGATGCAAACCGATCTGGTGGAACTTAGGACCATGCGTCGCCACGCTAACTTCCCTTTTAATAATCACACATACAAGTCAAAGTCAATGTGACACATGATAGTGAAAACAACGTTCATGATAATCACACAAAAAAATAGATTAATAAATGACACTCAATCTGAATGTGTATATTGTTTTAATCATGTTCACAATTATCAAGACCCCTAGATAAAAAGCAATCACTCACACAATATAAGGTGATAACAATATTCATGTATATCACAAGACCCCCTAGATAACACCTAATCACTCACTTAATATTTAGTGATAACCATGTGACACGCAATCACTCTATATTCACTGATAACTATGTTTATGATCATCACAGATAACAATGTGCATGTGTATAACAGGAACCTGACCTGTGAAGATCCAGGGTAGAACAGGTCTTCAGCAACCCATGCTTGTAAAAGGCGACTGCTTGTCATAAGAGGCGACTAACAGGATCGGGTGGTCAGGCTCACTGACTTGGTTGATTAATGTCATCAATCCCAACTATGTGGATCGATGCCCATGATGTCAATCACTTTATTGTCTGATCCAGACTCAATTATTTACAGATTGCCGTCATATAGCTGTAATGTTGCTGAGTGTGGTGTTCAACAACAAACAAACACAAGAACCCTACATAATACTTAATCACTTTATATTCACTAACACTGTCCATGGTTACCACAAAAACCCTAGATAAGACTTGATCACTCTGTATTCAGTGATATGATCAGCATCATGTTTGTGATCATCACAAGAACCCTCAATAACAGTCAATCACTCGATCTATATTCAGAGATAAAAATGTTCATGATCTTCACAAAAACCCTAGATAACAGTCAATCACTTGATCTATATTCAGTGATAACAATGTTCATGATCTTCACAAAAACCCTAGATAACAGTCAATCCCTTGATCTATATTCAGTGATAACAATGTTCATGATCTTCACAAGAACCCTAGATAACAGTCAATCACTCGATCTATATTCAGTGATAACAATGTTCATGATCTTCACAAGAACCCTAGATAACACTCAGTCATTACATATTCAAAGATAATCATGTTAATAATATTCACAAGAAACCTAGATAACACTCACTCAAATTATGAGGGTTGATGAATAAATTTTGAGTCTGGCTACTGCAAATTTCTTTGCCAAGATCAAAATTTCAATTGAGGCAGTAAAAAACTTGCAGCTGATTTGTTTCAGAAACCTGGCATTTGATTGGTTCAAGAATTCATGCATCCTTCATTTTGATTGGGAAGTCAGAGTTTGCTCAAGGTTCACCTGATGCCACCTTCTTTGGAGGTGTCCTCAGCTTAACACAGACAGGTATCAAAATTAAAAGAATTGAAGTGGCCAGCAGCAGACAGTGGTGTGACCGCATTGGTGAGGAGACAGAGAACCTCACCAGAGCAGCTTTCGGTATCAAATTTATCAAGGTGAAAAAGGGTGCAATTCTCATAGACTTCCTGTGGTTGTTTTCTAAAATCCTTCTAACTGGTTTCTATTTGTCAAAAGATAAAACTGAATATTAAACACTAGTAAAAGCTACATCGTTTTTGCTACATGTGCAGTTTTGGTTGAAACAAGTATTAATAATGAATCGAGTATAAATAAAAGATTACTGGACACAGTATATGCACAGTATATCTGTTATGCAGTGTTATTGTGTGTGATTCTCTCATACAAAAACCATGACATAGCAATCACCTTCACACAAGTATCTGTTACTCAGATGATTTACAATTATTTTGAAGAGAAAAACTGTTTGTAGAACTTGTCTGACATCTTTACATATTTTAGTTTCTGTTTTAATGACATGTGTCAAACATAAATATAAACCCTAAATGTGTACAGTAAACGGGCAATGTACAAAGATTTATTTGATGGAAACTATTCCTGGCTCTTTTCTCTCTTTTGTTTTTTTTATGCTAACATTAATGTTGTCGCTTTGTGGAAAGAAATCGAAACTCTCATAAATATTATAACAGTATGCACCTCCTTCAATTCATCTTCAATTTTGGTTTTAAAAAATCCATTTCACAAAAAAATTTGGAATAACACATATAGGATCAGCTGCAGTGACGACGGTGTCACGAGTATTTCATGAATGTCTTCAGGAGCACATCAGCTGCATGGCCAGGTGTGATCACTCCTCGAACCACCTTCTTTTCCAGGTCAACCATCTTCTTGTCCACACCCTCCTGTTTATAGAATGCCTCCATGATGTAGTCTTGGATGTGGTTCCACATCCAGATCTTCAGCTGTTTCTCCCGCTTCACTTGCAACTCACCGGACTGGAATGTTAATGTTTTGTAGTTCACCATTAAGTCCCATAACTCTGGGACGCCTTCTTTAGTTAATGCTGATATGCGCTTTACCTGTAAGTAAGTAAGACAATGTTCCTTAATGTTATTAACATCGGCAATGTGAGTGGTTTGAGTATAACTTCACTTTGAACATGTTGAACAAGCAGTCAGAATGTTAACCAGTGTTAAATATTGCGTCAAATATGCATAGACGTTACGAATGGGTTCAAAACATCTACGAGTATCCTGCTATGAAATACACTCAAAGTTCTGAACATAAATGATTGATATTCTTCACACTTATATTGAAATCTGCATCTACAAGCTACAGTTTTCAGAGCATATGCAATGACATGACATCAGTAACATTCATGAAGTAAGGTTTGTCACACGGCACTAGTCAAGGACCCCACGTTCATGCCTTGACCTTTACACTTATAACTGAGAGTCCCCTGAACTCAAAATTAGGTAAGACCCAAGTACATCCCCGCGACTGTGATGAATCTGAAAATGACACACCATTGAAGGTGTCGCATACCAAACGGGAATACATGTACATGTATTTAATATAGTGACTGAGTGAGTAATACTGGCAACTGGGTGAAATGGGGTTAACATGGTTAATGTTGCATGCATGCATGCGTGCGTGGTGTCAGTTACCCCAAAATAATGCTGGTTATATGGCACTAAACCACTGAGATACCATGCCATAGTTGAACATGGATACCCCTCACAGTATACTGATTCCGAGCCAACCATTCCTTGTGTTTATTCCCTTGATGCCGAGCACCAGGAAGGGCAACAAGAACTACCTTTGACATATTTTGATATGATCATCAAGCTCCCCTATGCGGGCAGACGTCCTATCCACTAGAATTTTCAAATTTGAATTTCGAAAAATAATATACAAATAGAGCCACAGCACTTTGGCCCATCTGGATGTGTAGTCTACAGTTACTAATGCCATCAAAGACTGTTAACTTACCAAAACTGCTGCCCGCTTTTATAATATTCAAATATTTTCTGTATAAATTACAAGACAAACTAAAACTGCATTCTATAGATTCTTAACAAAAGATGATGATGATGATGATGATGATGATGATGTCACCAAAATAAGAAACAGACATTCCAAAGTTCAGCTTCCTCATTCTGGCAATTTCAGAGAAGTTGATTACACAGCAAAAATGCATGGTCAGAACACAAAGGTCAAAATAAGGTCAAACTTTAAATATCGCAACAAGAAGACCACATGTGTTGAGTCCCACTATTAACTAAACATGCTAAACATACATAGAGTTTAATTATAATTTGAACAAAATCGGCTTAGTAATCATGGTAATGACGGCCCTGATGAAAATCAGATTTGAATCTCTGAAACAAATTGAGGGGTCATCACTGGTGGAAGCTAGCATGTGACATTTCAGCTCCACTGGTCCAGTGGCTGCTGAGTTGATTATCATGATGATGTCTACCATGTTTACAGTGCGAGAAATGCATCTGGAGAACATTTAATAGCATAGTCACAACACAACACTCAATGTATGTGTGCAGTCAAGCCCGTAGAGTTTTCTTCCTTCCCCTGTTTGTCCAACAGATTATCATTTGAATATTACCATTAATAAAAACTGATGCTCTAGAGGACATATCTTCAATCATGAAGAGTACAACACTTTCAACAGATACATCTTACGTAATAATTCTTTGAAAAATAAATCTCACATTTCTTTTGCAAATACCATAGAGTTATCTTTCCTTCATTTCAAATAACCATATGATGAAAGATAGCATATTCTGAACAGCTCTACCTTAGGTCTCCACACTTTCGATCTTTGTCTCTTGAACTTGAGGGCACTGACGTACTCGGCCTGGATCCGCCGTGCGGCTGCCACGAGATCTCCGTCACTCTTGTTTATGACCACCATGTCTGCCACCTCGACTATGCCCTTCTTAATACCTGCAACCAAGTGGACAAGGTTCTGTTCTTTATCATCATGGCTTTCTTTGAAAAAGTGAGTTTGGCTTTATAATGCCGCTTTTTAAAACACTTTTTAATTACATCTTGGCATGTTAGCTTGATGTGCAAGGAAAATCCAAAGCGATGCTGTCGACCTTTGATGATGACCATGAGGTTGTTTGGCTGGTTGGTTTGTTGTTTAACGCTGCACTCAGCAATATTCCAGCTATATGACGGTGGTCTGTAAATAATCGAGTCTGGACCAGACAATCCAGTGATAGATATCATGAGCATCGATCCACGTAAATGGGATACAATGACATGCATTAACCAAGTCAGCGAGCCTGACCACCCGATCCCGTTAGTTGCCTTTTACGGCAAATAAGTCACCTTTTTCGGCAAGCATGGGTTGCTGAAGACCTACTCTTACCCGGATCGTCACGGGTTTCAAGGATCACATGACCCTCTTTAATTTCGACCACTTGCTGACATTAAATAACATTTCCTGAGCACCTCACCTTGAAGTTCGTCCCCTCCTGCTGGTGGAATGATAAGACAGAACATGTCCACCATGTCTGCCACCACAAACTCAGACTGCCCTACACCTGCAACCAGTAGAGTAGATTTTACACCACGATCTTATAAACGTCCAACAATTTACTCCAACATGATGCCTCATCCAGGGATAATTCTAGGAATGGCCCCTAAATCTGGAAAAAGCCTACATCTTCAGAAGCACAGGGGGTTTATTACATTGTATCATATAGGCATCACACACAAATTGTTCCAAATTTCCCTTATCAGTGCTAAATGGGCCCACATCAGAAAATTCAAAAAAGATCCCTGCTTGTCTGATATCCAAAGCTCAAGATAAGCTGCGTATTTGCTTAAATTATGCATTAAGTCAACTGAAATACCCAGAAAAGTCAAATCCTAGGGTATCATATATGCAACAAAAACTATAAATACGCTATTAAAATAAAATTAATGCGTATATTATAACTGTTAGACATGTTAGATAAAACGATTGCATATATTACAACTGTTAGATAAAATGATTGTGTATCAGCCGATCTCCAAACTCATGTACCAACAGTTACATTCAGAAAAGCTTCTGCGACAAACATACTGACAGATGGCAGTTGAAAAGCACATCGTGCCTAGTCAATGTACTTCTTGTGTCTCAATTAGTCGCTGATTGGTAATTAAAATAATAGGGCCTTTCTTACAATGCTAGGTTTCGTAAACCAAAAATGGCTTTTCGGAGAGGGAGCCGGAAGCAGCAGGTATACTAATATTCACATAGTTATAAATGATTCACAGGCATTGTTATGAAACAGGTTTTAAGTGAAATACCCAAATGTCAAGAAACAGATGACAAGGTAGACACAATTTTATGGATAACAACTTCTTTAATACTGTAAAAAGCGAAAATAGATCCTTATACCGTTGTCAAGCAGGACTGAATGAGGGACATTGTACAGAATATATATAGTAGGTGGAGGATTGACGGTAGAGGATTAACAGTAACAACAATTGCATACATGAGTGGGATAACAGAGTAAGTGTTGACAACAGAAGGATAATACTGTCACAACACGATGGACAGAGAACACATACGGTAGGTAGAAGCCAATAGGGACATGAAGCCAATTAAACAGGATAAGTGATTATTGCTTGATGAGTTCATAGTAGGCATCGTCCTCCCGTTCATAGGAAAAGCCACCCACATTATCTATCTCTCTGAATATCTAATGACACATTTGGAGGTCAGGGGCGGTGGGAAAACCTAGTGGTTAAAACGTTTGCTCGTCACGCTAAAAACCTGGTTCATTTGTCACATGGGTGCCATGTGTGAACAATCTCATTAAAATCTGAGAACATCCCATTCCGGGTCACGTCTGAACAACCTTACATCCGACCAATCAGTGCGTAGCTTACCAGATCATGAAAGTGACAGTCGGAATGTGTTTTCTAATCTTGCAACCTCGTAAGCCAGTTACGGGCTTTATGACCGGATCCATACAATTTGGGGAATCTATTAGCCATTACTCAATGTTCTTTTGTTCAGTTTCAAATTTTTAATCAAGATATTTATCAAAATTTGTGATAAGGTTCGAAGTGTAGTTGCCAGTTTAAAACTAGTGCCGTAAGGCACGAGTAAGCTGCCTTCTGATTGGCTAATGTAGATTCCTTGTCAGTCATTCCATTAGTCGGTCAAAGTTTGCAAAAGGTTGGTCTGACGTGACCCATAATGGGATGTTGGTTTGTTTATGGGTTTGTGAGTTATTTAACGCTGCACTCATCAATATTACAGCTGTAGGACGGCAGTCTGCAAATAATCAAGTCTGGACCAGAAAATCCAAAGATTGATATCACGAGCATCGTTCAACGCGATTGGGATCAATGACATGCATCAACCAAGTCAGCGAGCCTGACCACCCGATCCCGTTAGTCGCCTCTTACGACAAGCACGGGTTGCTGAAGACCTTTTTTACCCAGGCTCTTCATGGGTCCTATCTGGGATGTCCTCAGATATTTGTTTAGCAGTAGCTAGAATTAAGATCTTATTTTAATGTTATTGCATGTGTGAAGAGCTTAGACATGACATTCATTCAGATTCATGGTTCATTCATGAAAGATATTTCACTGCACATACCAACAGTTTCAACTAGAGTGACATCATACCCTGCCCCCTCACAGAGGACAATCGCCTCATTGGTTGTCCTGGTCACCCCTCCCAGTTTCCCTGATGTGGGGGAGGGGCGGATGAAGGCGTTCATGTCTCGGGCCAGCTCCGGCATCCTCGTCTTATCACCAAGAAGGGAGCCTACAAGGCAGAGATCACATCATCCACACATGTCACATGCTTCAAAGTCTTCTTTGCCAACAAAGCTGCAGAAGAATTAGAACACAAATAAATTGTCAGAGTACTCATATATAATGTACATGAGGGTAACACAAGGTAGGCATGTCCTAAAGTTCTTATTTTTGCATAAGGCCTCACCAATTACATATCATGTAGTACGGGTCCACTGAAGTAATCTCCCTTATTTCGAAAATAAATGAATGAAAATGACGATTAAAAGTGACATGAATTACGCCGACAACACAAACATTTAATGATTTCTCATTGGAAGGTAAGCAACACTTGAGTGCGCATTTGAGTATAATGTGCACACCCCTCCCATTCTCAGTTTCAGGAAAATTGCTATTTCCAGTATTGTGCAGTTAAAAAGTACATTGTATTGTAGCTGAGAGTTGAGAGCTCACAGACATCAAGGAACATGACATTAAGGGATGCATTGGATGACAGGCTGAATACAATGGGAGATGGCAACTGAAGCAGTGAGGTGTTAAAGTTTGGAGTTTGGGCAAAGGAGTGAGTAAGTGAGTATGGTTTTACGCCACTTTTAGCAATATTCCAGCAATATCACAGCAGGGGAAAGCAGTAATGGGGTTCACACATAGTACCCATGTCGGAAATCGAACCCGGGTCTTCGGCATGACGAGCTAACGCTTTAACCACTAGGCTGCCCGACGGCCCCCTGGGCAAAGGAGAGCAGAGTTGAAGTTACATGGACCTCATAGAGGACAACATAAAGGGGTGTGCTATTTCATGTAATTCTACCCGTGATATAACAATAGACATCTTCCGAGGCAAGGGAGTTAACTGACTATAACATGATAAAAGTCCAGTTTCCACTCTTGCCGAACTTGGCTGGAATTATGGAGTTATATCTTGGCTGGACTAAAGAGTCTATGCATAGTCCAATCAAAATAGCGTAAGGAAATCGACATCCGGTTCGTAAAATGCATAACAGATTTTGGTTGATTGCAGGATTTGAAAAGCATGTATACCATAAACTCGGTGTCAACAGATATTTTCATTCTTCTTTATCAAGATGCTCACGTGATACAAGTGAATACAAGTGAATACTTGAGAGGGGGTCACTAGTACGCATCACTGCAAGTCCATGGATCACAGATTAGCACAAAAAGTGTTATTTATCAAAATAATAAAACAAATTAAGTACAGTTATTGATATTTATATCAAATAACATGAAATGAACTTCTGATGTGACAGGTAATCATAGGAAGAGAAGTCCTCACATCTTTTGTTAGCGGTGAATCTTCCCGAGGTAAGAGAGTTAACTGACTTTAAAAGTCCAGTTTCCACCCTTGCCAAACTTGGCTGGAATTCCTGGGCTCGATCGTAGCGCCACCAGTGGTTTTTACGAGTTATATCCCTTCTAAGCCTTTCCTATGGACCAATCAGATTCCACCTCTCGTATCACTTGCATTTGTTTTAAACAAAATGGCGGCGCCCAGTCAAGACAATCTGATCGATAATCAAGATCTATATTGTGATAAAACAGGTCTTACATCACGAAGTTCATCAAATCACATGAGCACCTTGATCACAACCATGAAAAGACATGGAAAATGTTTGTTGACAACTAGTTGACAGTGCAAATGCTTTACAAATTCTGCAATCGACCGAAATCTGCATGACAGTTTACGAACCGGATTTCAATTTCGTTGCGCGATTTTGATTGGACTATGCAAAGACTCGTTAGACCAGCCAAAATGTAACTCCGTAATACCAACCTAGTTCGGAAAGGGTGGAAACTGGACTTTTATAGTCAGTTAACTCTCTTGCCTCGGGAAGATGTTAGCGGTGGTGAGACTAAGATCTGATCTTAATTGTTGTTTTTATTTTCCTCCACCCTCCAACATGCCCTACCAATCTGGTCCCATACATCTGTAATGTTGACATTTTTTAAATTCATCAGGGATGCTATTTTTTTCTTTGCTTCTCTTGTTCCAAGGAATCCATAGTAATGGTATGGCCTAAGATGAATAATATGTCAGGATGTTGATGTTATTAACATTTATCATTGCTAATAGGTACAAGATGCTAAAAGGATAAAATCATTTCAACACATTTTGCATACGAATCTGTAAAATGGTTTGCAACAGTTCATCATGCATGATGTGTTCAAGAGATTCAAATCTGGTTTTGAGCATTTATTTTGCCATTTATGTTCAAAATGTAATGAACCTTCATGAATGTTTAGCTAATAGTGTTCATTTAAAAAAAGTCTCTAATAGATAATGTTGATTGAAAACAAGCACAATTGAACATCTTTTTGCATGCTTAGTTTATTTTATAAAACTTGTAGTTTTTGTCAATATCTTTCTGTTTAGCATATTAACCTCTGACCAAACCTGCCAAGATTTTTTTTCCCATTATTTTGTCTGGTTTGTCTCCTGCATGTAGGTATATTTTGAAAAATCTAATTATCCATAACATGTAAAAAACAAGAAAGATGCTTGCTTCTGTATATTGTTTGTTTGTTGTTTAATGCCACACTCGGCAATATTCAAGCTATATGATGGCAGTCTGTAAATAATCGAGTCCGGACGAGACAATCCAATGATTGATATCATGAGCATCAATCCACACAATTGGGATACGATGACATGCATCATCCAAGTCAGCGAACCTGACCACCCGATCCCGTTCGTCACTTCTTAGCATAGTAGCCTTTTACAGCAAACATGGGTTGATGAAGACCTATTCTACCCCGGATCTTCGCGGGTCCTTCTGCATATTGAACATGCTGAATAAGTCTGTATGACAACACTCCCTTGCTTCTATTCCCATTACCTTTAATGGTTAGTATTTATACTTGTGATTCCCTTCATTCAACAAGCACTAGGTACATTCCCCAACCCAGGGTTTCAAAGAAGATATGATGTATTCTACCTCCAGTTGTTGATGACGAGGGATCAACAGCAAGGACAGCCACTTTGAATCCCTTCCCTGTCAGGAACTTGCCAAAAGCTTCAATAAATGTACTTTTTCCAGCACCTGGTGGTCCTGTTAATCCTGTTTAAGTGTAAATTAACACATTTAGAAAACTTCACAGCTAACCAGCAATAACAGTCTGGGCTGTAACCATGGTAACATAATGTAGTACAACCCGCTATGTTTTGTTTGTTTGTTGCTTAACGCTGCACTCAGCTATTTTCCAGCTATATGACGGCAGACTGTAAATAATCACGTCTGGACCTGACAATCCAGTGATGGACATCATGAGCATTAATCAATGCAGTTGGAATACGATGACATGCATCAACCAAGTCAGCAAGCCTGACCACCAGATCCCATTAGTCACCTCTTACGAGAAGCATTGTCTCCTTTTACGGCAACCATGGTTTGCTGAAGGCCTATTCTACCCCGGATCTTCACATAACACACTTAACAATTTTAATATGACACAATAATATGACACCAAAATGATATATTTGTAGTCATAATAATGTATGTATTTACTGTTTACTAGTATACATTCCAGTTAAGTAAATCATAGTACAAGTGTGTGTGTTTTGTGTTTGTTGTCTAACATCTCCCTCAACAACATTCCAGCTATATGGGGGGGAACGGGTGGCCCATCATGTAAGGCGCCGCGATTCGCTGTGCAAAGTTACGTCCCTTGGGCACGCCAGAAACCTATGATTGTGGGTTCGAATACCGGTTCGCCCCGATTATGTTTCTAGGTTTGTCAGCACCGTACCCGTGCTCGTGGGTTTCACCGAAGTGGTAAACGTCTGAGACCTGCATCACTTCGTGCTTTCCTCCCACATTAAGCTGACATGCCGTGATATAACTGGAACATTGTTAAAAGCGGTGATAAACACAACTCACTCCAGCTATATGATGTCAGCTTGAAATATCTGGTCCAGACAATCCAGTGAATGATATTCATTGTGTGCAGTGATTCATATCATCAGTGTACGTTGATACACATTTTACTAGCCTTTTACTACCAGCATAAGGTGGGGACCAATTCTAACCTGGAAACCACTCGGGATCCCAATTAAGTCACTTCTTATGACTAGCAATATCATGAATATGTTGCTGAGGACACATTGAATGATTCTATATCAGCCTCACACTATATTGCTATACATAATTGTTATGGAATAGCCCTTGCACATAAACATGATTAATGCATTGATATCAGCAACAGAATATCTTGATAGTGGTTGCCTGAGATTTGCTTTCAACATCACAAACAATCATAACGACTATGATAACGTCTTTGAAATACTAAATAACACTGTATTTATATTGTACATAAATAATGACATTATAGCACACTAAAAAAAATGAAACAGATTAAACAATCTCAAACTCGAACTACTTTTCATTTTACTTGTTTTTCTCATGTACCCAGAAGCCCTCAGAACTTCTATCAAGTGTCTAAAATGAAACAAATACTGACATACTCAAAATCTGATGCTGATTCTTGAGGACAATGAATCTGTTTGGCAAATTCACAGCGATATATGGTAACCATGGTTACATTTCTCATCTCTATCAAAGTTCATTTTCACAGAAAACCCCTCATACAACATGTACTAGATTGGCACATTAACCAAACCAAACCATAAGAAATAAAATCTTAAACATGTTAAAAAAGGTTGAGAGAGATGTTTGTGTCATTAGTAGACAAATCTGTGAGTTGAATAGTTGAAGGTAGCTATAGAGGAGCCATTGTAGGCATGTGAAACAAAAGCACAGAGCACTATTATCTTTACTCAACATGCTCAAATAAACGTTTTTGTGAGCATGGTGAGATATACGTTTTATGAAGATGTAGTACTGCATATGTGTGCAGAAAGGGCATTCCATTCTGAAATATTTAGGCCATGTGTTTCTATTAAGTATTACCATGATGACTTGATGACTGTCTTAGGAGACTGAGGGGGGACAGACGAGAAATGCACAATGTTATATAGTTTTAATAAATCTACTAACAGACTAACAGAATTGCGAAGTCTACCTAAAAAGTAGCATGTATAGCCTTAGACAACATGGACACTGACAATGCAATTTGTTTTGTAAAAAGAACTTTTTTTCTGTTTATTCACATCAACTTTTGTGGATTGCTTAAGAGTATCATGACAATGCAAACAATGTGAGACAGTCCACTGTAATTATTATTATACATGTAGTAATAATGACAATATCTATATAGGTAGCTTACCTATTCTAAATGACTGAGTCTCTTGTAGTATATGTCTGGTCCTGCGTTTGTTGTAGTCAAGTACTCTGGATAGTAATTGCTGTGCCTGTTTCCTCTTTCCTGGATGACTGGATTCTACAAGGGTTATAGACCTTGCAAGACTTGCCCTGTCTCCATTTGTTAATCCCTTGAACAGTTTATGTACCAGATCATCTTTATCGCTCACATCAACCTTAGCCCTTTCTTGCTTCTCTTCAGTCTGACTTACACATGTTTCAGAATGAAAGGAGTTGATGTGTAACGATGGAATTAGTCTCTTATTATGTAGATTTACAATTTGTTTAGACCTACACGGCTTTGAAGATATACTCCTGTGTGTGTTTACGAACACTGTGTGCCATGCTAATTGATGTTTCAAGGATAACTTGCATGACACTGAGCCAAGGAATGAAATCAGGTAACATCTGGCCATTGGTTTCTGAAACATTGAAATGCATTTTTTTTAAATCACGAACGATCGGTTTCAGGGGGTTAGGTTACATGAGATGATGCCTTCTTTTGACACATCAATAGTGACTCTAAAAGAACAAAAAAACATCAAAGTTCTAACCATGCTACGCCGTATATGGTATCTGGTCGAACCTTTAGGCCTAACGCCGTTACCACAAATCAAATGCCACCTTGTCTTCTAACGTTTCATCATTGATTATGGACGAACAGGGCAAAATGTTTTTTGGCAGTTTCGAGAAATGGATACTTTAGACAGATCGGAAATGATGGCACCTTAAGGATAGGCCCAGAAAATTACTGAAATCTCTGTAAAGGTTCACTGCATCTTGGTGAACGAAAACTGAGGGCATTAAAACTAATCTAAAGTTACTACAATAGACCAATACGATATCGTCGATTTCTGATTATTATAAGTGTTTCCTTCCGTTTGAACCAAACCACCAAGTTAATGTTATAATTTTCCAAATCAACTTTCGATTGCCCCCTCACTTGTTGCTCGCTTCCAAAACGAGAATATTCGTCTGCAAAATTAATAAAAACGGAAGTCATCTGCGAGGCTATATTCGGAAGTGATTGCGGGCAGGGGTACCAAAACATGATGATTAACAATCCTTTATTCAAATACAGCTACAACATTTGAATTATTAAAGTTATTTCTTTGTTGTACATTATCGATATGGAAACATGAAAAATTAAATCGCTTGCTAAAAAAGTGACTGCGCACCTACCATGGCCTACCGGATGTTGTAGCAGACGGCTAAAAACTCAAGAAACAGGTGCGTGTTGTGTATTTAATCCAAGTCCCTTTTTGTCTCAACATACCAGTTTCATTGTCATTGTGGGCGATGTGTGAAATACATTATAGACATTAAAATGACAAACGCTAGACTGTCTCGAGATTTCGATCGAGACTAACAGGCTGACAGCTACTAAGCTACTAAACAGGATCATGTAAGTCGTAACTAATAATAATAACAAACATTCCTTCGCTCACGTCTGCGAGTTTGTTTGTTATTATTATTAATTACGTGGTCCTGTGGTATAACGTGACACTTAATCATGATCGTATGACCTGATGACATTGATCTTATCCTGTTGACTCTTTTACTGGTCACTTTATTCTTAACAGTAATTTTTTTATTTTTTAACAGTATTTCACCTTACAAGATATGAATGGTAAGGTTTACATCAAAGAAGTACTGTTTTAAAGTAGGCCTATATGTATGTATTCGTTTGTTTTTGTTTTCAGATGACGGAAAAGAGCACACTGAAGACATACTGACATAAATAGTAATGGGATATGTTGGTGAACACATTCCCTCTCCTGTTGTTTTAATAATTGATATAAACTCAGTAAATCATCAAAAATGGCATTTCTTGTGCTGCAAGCCTCTTCCGCATGTCGCTTTTATAGCAGAGCAGGCCCTTTCATCACACAACAGAGTCAAAGAAAAATCTTCTCTTTAAAGTTTCAAGGGCAAGTAAAATCAGGCAATAATACTTCATCATTATTCAGATTAAATCAGAGACTAATCGATCATCACAAAATAAGACCTATGAAACCAAGAATTAACAGGTATTTTCCCAGATCTTTTCTTGTACTGCTAACCACTGGTGGCAGTACCTTATATATTACCCTGAAGTATGCATTCCCGTGGAAATATTTTAATGCAGTGTGTGAGGAAATGAAAATGGTAAATCAACCATTTGAACAAAGCAGGAAACAACAGTTCATACTGTGGACATGGATATCTGGGCTGTACTCAATCTTCAGAATAGTCATTCGTGCGTGCAGATTATTCATCACATTTACCCCTCTACTGCTTATGTATCCATTCACATTGATCAGCAAGACACTTAGAAGTCTGTGGTGGCAAATGTTGCTTATAGCTGTTGAGTTTTCTGGACCAGCCTTTGTTAAACTTGGACAATGGGCGAGTACACGAAGAGATTTATTCTCCAAAGAATTCTGTGATCGATTTTCGAAACTTCATCACCATGCCAAAACACATTCCTGGAAACACACTGCTATTTCCCTGGAAAGAGCTTATGGACCAAATTGGAGAACTATGATACTCTTTGACAACAAGGCTCAACCAATAGGATCAGGTTGTGTGGCACAGGTATGCAAAGTTTTACACGATATAGAAGAAGTTTTCATTGTACCGTATTCGACTCAATAAGCGCCCAGGGCGTTCTCAAAATTAGAAATAGGCGGCTCTTATTAGAATATTATTTTGGTGAAAAATCATAAATTTCGTAGATTATGCTGACAGCCTGAAATGTTTATATACGACAGATATATTTGTCCACAATTTAATTGCCCATAATTAAGGGTGCATTTAACACACGAGTGCGTATCATACACGAATAAATAAGTCTTATGTACATTGATCAATCGGAAGGGGTGCTAATTGGGATTGTTCACTAGCCAATATATTAGCTAATATCACCGTGGGCGCTTATTACATCGAATACGGTATCTTGTGTTTCATAGATAACCATAGATAACTGTCGCAGGCACATAGATATTCAACATGTTAAATACACAGGGTTTTACTTGACTCAGAAATGTGCGTCCAGTATGCACAGAAAAACTATATTGCATCCTGAGGGACACACAGTAATATTCATTGTACCAAATTCTTATGTATATTGATATATATTTCTTGATAAGAATTTTGAACAATGAATATATTTGTCCTTTAATTAAAGTAATTATCAAATCCTACAGTATAGTACACTACACCATTTCACTACTTTATAGCACCCACATATTTTCTGTAAGCAAACTTTAAATTAATTATTGGGGGTCTTGAAGGTCAACGTCAAACCCTGAATACATATGTAATCAAATACACATTCAAAGTACAAGCTCTTCCTCTCATGTGCTTCGTAACAGAGAGCTGCCTAACACCATTACTATCTCCTTGGTCCCATGGCCAGTATAAGTAATATTACATGTTTTAAGTACTCTCTTCGGATCAATAATTGTCATTCATAATCGTTATACACTATTATACCCCCCTTCCACTAGGAGGCGATCCACGGCGCTCCGTGAGAGCGCCATATAGAGCGCCAAGATCGCCAAAAGCGCTAACGGATCGCTAACAGATCGCTAACTGATCTCCATGATCGCCAAGGTTGCTGCCGGTTGACTCCCCTGCACAAAGATCCGTGGCGCTCTGCCCAGAGCGCCATCAGATCGCTAATTGATCACTTAGATCGCCATCGGAGTGCTACTTGATCGCCAAGGTCGCAATCGGAGCGTCGATCGCCACAAAAGCTGGCCTACCGATCTTCGGCGCTCCATGGCGATCTGATGGCGCCTCGGAGATGCATTGGCGCTCCGATTGTGCTCCGATGGCGCTCTGATTGTGCTTCACTGTTTGGTTCACGATTTGGAGCACCACCCTGTGGCGCTCTGTGGGGCTCCAATGGCGCTCCAGGGTCTCACCCGAAAAGCCTTCCTTCTCCTTCTTCTTCGAGGCTGCTGGGCCAGAATAGCAATCTGCTGGTTCACGATGGCATGGTTCACGAGATTATAAATCACTTGTAATATGGCAGCATCTCTATGGTTCATGGTGATACCCGTCTGCTGCCAAGCACAGAACTGAAGAGCGCGGTGGAACCCCACAGGTTTTTATAGGATCGGGCCCCTTTGCGGCGATCAGGTTGCAATCGGATCGCCTAGAGCGCTACTTGAGCTCTAACGGATCTTCATAGATTGCACTCTATCGCTATCGGATCAGAGAAGAGCACCATAGATCACAATGATCGCCATCGGATCGCCAATAGAGCGCCATTGGAGCACATCCTGATCACATCGGATCGCGAATGGAGCGGGAACTGATCGTGCAAGATCGCCATATTTTGGGGTGATGGGTGGGGATCAAGCGCCATCAAGTCGCTATCGGATCACATAGATCGCTATTGGATCGCTATCTGATCGCAATCGGATCACAAGTACCCCTATATCGCCTCATTATATGGCGATCTATGGCACTCCTTCAGATCGCGTAGATCACCATGGATCGCCGCCTAGTGGAATGGGGGTATTAGTTGGCAAAATGACAGGGACTCATTTTATGATGGCCATCTATGACCAAGTCAATATTGATAGAAAGTAGATAATTGCTTCTCAATCAAAGTTAAATACTTTACTTTTCAATTTTATTTACCCGGTTCTCACTCTCATCAGTTTAAAAGAGTGATATATGTATTTATAGAAGTATTTTTTTGTAATGCAGAATTGTACTTTCTAGAGCTGGGATGAGTCCAAATTTACTACCTGGGTACCCACCTCGCTGTTACCCAACCTACCCGGGTACACACTGTAGGTCTCAAAAGTTGGGTACAAAATGTCCCGCTGGGAATAGTTTGCCCGTCCATGGCAAAATGTATTTAGATACATGTATAAAACAATCTGGTCATTCATACACTGAAGTTGACTGAAGTTTTATCTTAATTCAAACATATAAAAGTCAGAAGAAATGGGTGCATAGTCAGAAAGAAATGCAAACATTAGTGACTTGTAGTGTAACAATAGAATTCTAGATAATTTTTGTCCTTAAACAATATATCACATGCCTAACCACAGCTCCGGGTAGTCCTGTGGGTACCCGGGTCCTTCTCAGTAACCACCCAACCTGAGTACCCGAGTTACCTGTCCAAGCCCTAGTACTTTCCTGTTGAAATACTTATTGCAGCCAGTACCTTTAATTGAATTTAAGGTATACAAAGCCTATGTACGAGGAGACACCCTGGGTGCACTTGACCTGGAGAAAATACAAGAGGACATTCGTGAACAGGATGTGGCTGATGACATTCTGTCTGAACAAAGGACTTTTGCAGTTGGTAAAATACCCATCAGAAATATTTTATTTAGAAAATAATTGATGCACCAAGTTAAATTCTTGCATGTTCGTACCAATAATGTCTTTGTACATATCTTACTTGTCTGAGCCACTGTTAAAAAAGTATTTGAAAATGTGGCAAATCCTGATATTTTGATCATGTTTATGAGCAATGATGAGGTCAGGCAGAGTTTTCTGTGTCAATATGCCATGATGCAAGGAGGCAATGTTAATATTTAAAAAATGGTCAGGTTTGATTTGAGGTTACTTAAGAAAAATTGAAAATAAATGTTATTAAAAAAAAAATAATTGTAGTAGTTTCTTTATGCAAAATTACAGACAGTTCTATTTATAAAACAAGAAAACAAATAAATTTCTGGTTTTCCCCCGCCATGTTATTGCTGGAATATTGCAAAAAGCGGCGTAAAACCACACACACACACACACACACACACACTCACACTCACACTCACACTCACACTCACTCACTCACTCACTCACTCACTCACTCACTCAGTAAGAAGAGCAGAATAATGACAGTTTATTCCAAAAATTTTCTTTGGAGGAACAAATATGAGATTGATGTACCTGTAAACATGTGGTAAAGTGAAATCGGGGACAATAACGTAACATCACCTTGAACCATACATGGTGAGGACATTTCCAGTATTTCCAGTGTCTTTGTGTTTTTTAATTATGTTTTATTTTTTGCTTTTTCCTTTGCAGGTGTTGAGATTGAACGTTTGAATCAAACTTTTAGGAAACAGTTAAAGAAGAATGTATCAGGTATGAGTAGCTCTATTGTAGGTTTATAGTCAGTATAGTAGTCATGAATGATGTGACAGATATGATTCACGTGAATGTTTGGTTAGACGATGTATGTGGTGGAAGCAAATCATGAAATAAGGCAACAGGTTTTTTTATTTCTCGGTTTATGGATGTGCTGCTCTTTCAAAGTCCAAATGTTAAAAAAAAAGTAGTACAAACTACCCCTTTTTTTTCATTACCGCCAATCTTTACTTTAAAAAGTGTGTAAAAAATGGAAACAAAAAAAGATTTCGTTTTCTTGTCATGTGTAAAGCAAAGGGAAGTCACTCTGATATTTCTCGCTGGGATCCTTCTCTAATACCATCACAATCTCATTAAAATCAGATCTGAGTTCTCACTGCCCCTAAACAAAGATCTGAAGACATCCCATTATGTGTCACATCAGAACGACCTTTCGCAAACTTTGACCGACCACTAAAATGACAAACAAGTCGACATCAGCCAATAAGAAAGCAGCTTTCTCGAGCTTTACGGCACTCGTTTCAACCTTACAACTTCCATTTCAGACTACACTTGAAAAATATGTTGACAAAGTTCTTGAATATAATTTTGAAAACTGAACAAACGAACATTCCGGAATGTCTAATATATGGTTGAGATTGTATGGCAGTGCTTCCCACGTACTGTGCAATGCCTCCTCAGTTCAAGTGTTTATCCCACGGAAGCGAGAGATAGACAATAATTTTGACGGAATCAGTTGTACAGGCCGTAACTGTCGTTCAGAATACCCTGTGTTAACTTTTTCGAGGTTGTATGGTTAGACAACATATTACGACCGTCACTTTCATGATCTGGTAAGCAACGCTTTGATTGGTCTTATGAAAGGTCGTTCTGACGTGACCCATAATCAGATGTTCTCATATCGCGATAGCGAGAACTAAGATCTGATTTTAATGAGATTGATACCATCAAACATGTCAAGCGCAGTGGTGATCGGTTTAATTGTCGCCAATGCTGCCCAAGCACTTTTCATTATGACTAAAGGTAGGGTTGGCATCATCTTCCCGAGGCAATGGTGTTCACTGACTACAGAAGTCCAGTTTCCACCCTTGTCGTATGTCCCTTCTACTGACCAATCAGATTCCACCCCTCACATCACATGTATTTGCTTCAGACAAAATGGCGGCAGCCAGGCAAGATAATCTGCTTGATAATCAAGATCTCTATTGTAATAAAATGGGCCTTGCCTCACGAAAGTGCCTCAAATCATTTGGGCACCTTGATTAAAAGCATGAAAAGATTTGGAAAATATCTGTCGATGCCCAGTTGACGGTTCACATGCTTTGCAAATCCTGCAGTCGATATAAATCTACACGTTGAAATCCATGATGTTTACGAACCTGATGTCTACTTGGTTGCATGATTTTGATTGGACTATGCATAGACATGCAAGTGATCTTATTTTGATTAAAAGTCTGTCCTCGGGTACAGGAACATACTAAATTACTTTCAGATGAACGTCTAGAGTTGTACATAGAGCCAGGAATGATGGCTGCTGACTTCAATAATGAGTGTCTACTTCCTGTTGCAATAAAGGTAATTGACCATTGATGATTCCTCCTAATGATAAAATTATTGTAAAAAATATTTAACAGTTCAGATTAAGCTCTAAACTTAGGATTCATAAATTCTTGAATTATTAAGAATCAGCTGTAAATAACACTGTACTTTTACCATGAAAACAAACCATTTTCATAGACAGCTCTGCAAAAGAGTTTTTATGATTTTGCTATAAACTATATATCTTAAACAAAAATTAGAATAATTGGAAATGAGATTTATTGGTCACCTGAACTTTCAGTTTTAATTCAGTATTCTACTCCATGGAGTAGACTTCTTAAATGAGTTGGACTACCCTGTGAACCCAGACTCTGACTCTGATACAGCTGACTAAGGTGTATCAGGTGGTTACAGTGTCACCTGGGTGATTGTGTATCATCAGAACTTTCCAAAATCAATATAGATCAGCTCTTTGCAGCCAATCAGCATCAAGACTTCTAAATTCTCAGCATTCAGCATGTTCAGATCAGCATATCTGATTTCTGTATCTCGAAAATGAGCTTAAACAACCTTTCCCAAATGTACAGAATGAAGACCACGCCATTATATTTTCGTAGATATTTCATACATCCTGTCGTATCTGAGCTCCTTGACATATACATCCAAAAAAGTATTACCAGAAAAGAAATATTTATGTCCGCGTGGGTATTCTTGTGTCAGTATAGAAGTTTCCTAATCAAGGTAAAGATATGAAGCCAAATTATTTTAGAAAGCTGACATCTGATTGGTTCAAGAACCCACACATCCTTCATTTAGAATGGGTAGTCAAAGGTCGCTGAGGGTTCACCTGACAGAACTTCTAGGAGATTGTCCTCAGATCTTAATGCAGAGAGGTATCACATCAGAGTAAAAGATCTGATTTCAATTATAGTGACCTCTTTTCTGTCCCTTGCTCATGCTGTCATCCACTGGTCAGCATGACTGAGACTTAATTATTTACAGTCGCCATCTTGTAAGTGGATCATGATTGACTGCAGCTTTGATGTGAAGTTGTTGATTCTAGGCTGGGTGGGGGAGGGGGCATGGTTGGCCCACTCAGCTAAGGTGCTGCAATTTGCTGTGCAGAGTTGCATCCCATGGGCACACCAGACACCTATAATTGTAGGTTTGAATCCAATTATGTTTTAAGGTTTGTTTTAAGGTTTGGCCTTAAACCCAACTCACTCACTCTCTGACTTTGTGCAGGTGTTACACCCTGATGTCCATGCTGTATATTCGCGTGACCTGACACTGATGAAGGTTATGGCACGCTGCATGGAGTTTGTGTTTCCTAGTCTGCGCTGGATCAGCCTAACAGAGTGTGTTGCGGAGTTTGCACAGTCCATGAAAAAACAGGTGATTCTCAGGTGTTTCTTTATTCAAGCATAGTATTCAATGTTGTTTGATTTTAATTGTTTATGATTGATTATGTATGTGTAAATGGTTTTAAAAAGCGTATTATTTCATATTAAATGTTCAACCTAATATATATACATTTACGTAGCTAAGTATATACTCTCATCACAACCAGTCACACATTTTCATTTTTAAAAAAATATTTTAATAATCAATTTAAAATTATCATGATCAATCAGTCTGCTACTTTAGCCACTAGCATGACAATAGCCTGAGTCAAGCAACATTTCTACTGGTCAAGTCACATCAGCTGAAACTAGTCCATAAAGAAAGACTAAAGTATTCCTAAAATACAAATTTGGCCTAGCATCCACAAATGATTTTGTCACAGACTGTTATAAATGAACATATTACTTACGTATAAACACCCAGTCAAAGCCACTCATAGCTTTTCATTTCAGGAAAAAATAATTTTAAAAATCAAATTGTGTACTTTGATCATGTTCGTTCCTGACATGTGTACAATGTGTGACGCCCATATCTGGGGTTCCATGACATGATATTGCTGGAATATTGCTAAAAGAGGCATAAAAACTTACGTATGAATAAAATGAATGAACGAAGAACAATCTATATATAATCCTATCACGAGAGTAAAATTGCCATCGTCTGTCGCCAGATGAACATGCACCATGAGGCCCGCTGTCTGGACAGATTCGCCCAGGACTTCCTCCAGCAGGAAAACATCCGAGTTCCCTGCCCTCTCTGGCCCCTGGTCAGAAAGAACATTTTGGTGGAAACATTTGAGGTAAAGGGAGTTTCCTTCATGTAACCTGCTTGAAGAGTTGCTGGACATTTAGAAATGTTTGTCTTTTATAGGATACAAGGCACATATGTCAGCAACTTATGTCATGTTCATGAGCTGGGTAAGTAAGAATGTGTTTGCCCAAGTACTCTACAGTTGTGGTTGAATGTTAAACTGGGTTCCCCCACATGGGTACAATTAGTGAAGCCCATTTCTGGTATCCTCAAGCATGATATTGCTGGAACATTCCTAAAAATGGTGTAAACCCATACTGACTAAAACTGGGTTCCTAAACAAGAAATATCTCTACTTGTGTGCATATTTGAAACTGATCTTGATCACAACCTCGCCATGTCATCTCACCTCCCTTGTAGGGTAGTTAAAAAGGGTTAAAAGTTACATTTGTCTTGCCAAAGGCCAGGTTCAATTCCTCACAGGGGTGTGTGAAGCCCAATCAAGCATCTGTGTAAAACTGCATTAACTCTTGATGTGTTATGTGTTCCGGCTGTAAGGAGGGTGAGCCGATCTCGGACTTCCTCAGTGAGGATGACACCCAGGTGGGAGGGCTGAGGAGGAGGCTGGCGCAGCTGGGAGTGGATGCTCTTCTACAGATGGTACGACCGGTGAAGATCTGAGTTAGAATAGGTCTTCAGCAACCCATGCTTGCCGTAAGAGGTGAATATGCTTGTCGCAAGAGGAGACTAAGGAGATCGGGTGGTCAGACTTGCTGACTTGGTTTATGCATGTCATCATATCCCAATTGCGTAGATCAATGCTCATGATTGTCTGGTCCTGTCTGGACAGACCACTTTTATATAGCTGAAATAATGCTGATTGCAGAATTAAACAACAAAATAATTTATGAATTGCTTCTTCATGTCATACTGGAGGGAAGATTATTCCAGACACAAGGTGTTTTGGGCATATTTGAATTATTGACCCTGTTATGGCCTATCACTTTGAAATATTCATGTCTTTTTGTTGTATCACAACTTGTGTTATTTCTATGTGCATATTCTTGTTACCCTTTTCTTGTGTCTTATAATGTTTAAATGTTGCAAATATTTCAGAAAAATTCAGGTGAGGTTCAGCCTTGTGGCTGTATTTATGAAATAATATTTACTCACCCAAGTAATGATAACATGTATGGTCAAATTAAAATACAAATCCCTTTTACATGAAGCACATTCATTTGGGTGTGCTGATTGATTTTGATTTGAGTGAGTGATTGAAAAAGTTCATTTTTGCTCTGGTTGGTACGAGGGGCATTCAATAATTTTTGCAACTTCAATATAAGACCAAGTCACAGAATATCTTTTGCACTTTTATTTTTCAATATAATCATTGGTCTTTCAGGTGTTTGTTAACAACTTTGTCCATGGAGATTTACACCCAGGCAATATACTGGTGCAGAATGCAGGAGATTTCAAACAGGTAGTGAAGCCTTGCAAGCATTTCTATTTCTTGTGCAGCATATTGTTTTCTGCTGACAATTTGTATTAGATCCCCTGACTGAAAGTTTGGAATGACTATTTATCCAGATGAGTTAATGTTTCTTTACCTCAGCATATACAGAACAAGAAACTATCTGATTTATCATGTTTATAGCATGTCTGCCACAGTACTAATTTATGTATACATTACTGTTTAATTTAATATACTGTAAATTTGTCACTCAACTAAAAATTAACATTTTAAACACAGTTTAATTTTTTTTTCATTGTTTTATGATCTAAATTTCCAATAATTATAATTATATCTAATTAATTGAAGATATTCCCACGATGTGTTGAGGTGAATTGGCTTATATTTCTATGTTTTCTGGCTAACTTCATTTATCACCATGAAGATCGGGGTTAGAATTGGTCTTCAGCAACCTATGCTTGTCGTAGGAGGCGACTACAGGATTGAGTGGTCAGGCTCGCTGACTTGGTTGATGGATGTCATCATATCCCAATTGCGTAGATCGATGCTCATGATGTCAGTCACTGGATTGTCTGGTTCAGTCTTGATTATTTACAAACCGCTGTCATGTGTGTGACACTGTCATGACTTGTGTGTGACACTGTCATGACTTGTGTGACTTGTGTGTGACACTGGTGTGACTTGTGTGTGACACTGGTGTGACTTGGGTGTGACACTGTCATGACTCGTGTGACACTGGTGTGACTCGGGTGTGACACTGTCATGACTCGTGTGACACTGGTGTTACTTGTGTGTGACACTGGTGTGACATGTGTGTGACACTGATGTGACTTGTGTGTGACACTGGTGTGACTTGTGTGTGACACTGGTGTGACTTATGTGTGACACTGGTGTGACTTGTGTGTGACACTGTCATGACTTGTGTGACACTGGTGTGACTTGGGTGTGACACTGTCATGACTTGTGTGTCTGTAGCAGGAGGACCATCAGCTGGTGGTAGTGAATGTGTGTGACACTGATGTGACTTGTGTGTTTGTCGCAGGAGGACCATCAGCTGGTGGTAGTGAATGTGTGTGACACTACAGTGACTTGTGTGTTTGTCGCAGGAGGACCATCAGCTGGTGGTAGTGAATGTGTGTGACACTGATGTGACTTGTGTGTTTGTCGCAGGAGGACTATCAGCTGGTGGTAGTGAATGTGTGTGACACTGGTGTGACTTGTGTGTTTGTCGCAGGAGGACTATCAGCTGGTGGTAGTGAATGTGTGTGACACTGATGTGACTTGTGTGTTTGTCGCAGGAGGACTATCAGCTGGTGGTAGTGAATGTGTGTGACACTGATGTGACTTGTGTGACACTGTTGTGACTTGTGTGTGACACTGGTGTGACTTGTGTGTCTGTAGCAGGAGGACCATCAGCTGGTGGTAGTGAATGTGTGTGACACTGATGTGACTTGTGTGTGACACTGGTGTGACGTGTGTGACACTGTTTTGACTTGTGTGACACTGGTGTGACCTGTGTGTGACACTGGTATGACTTGTGTGTGACACTGGTGTGACTTGTGTGTGACACTGTCATGACTTGTGTGACACTGGTGTGACTTGTGTGTGACACTGGTGTGACTTGTGTGTGACACTGGTGTGACATGTGTGTGACACTGTCATGACTTGTGTGACATTGGTGTGACTTGTGTGTGACACTGGTATGACGTGTGTGACATTGGTGTGACTTGTGTGTGACACTGGTGTGACTTGTGTGTGACACTGGTATGACTTGTGTGTGACACTGGTGTGACATGTGTGTGACACTGTCATGACTTGTGTGACATTGGTGTGACTTGTGTGTGACACTGGTATGACTTGTGTGTGACACTGGTGTGACATGTGTGTGACACTGTCATGACTTTTGTGACATTGGTGTGACTTGTGTGTGACACTGGTGTGACTTGTGTGTGACACTGGTATGACTTGTGTGTGACACTGGTGTGACATGTGTGTGACACTGTCATGACTTGTGTGACATTGGTGTGACTTGTGTGTGACACTGGTATGACTTGTGTGTGACACTGGTGTGACTTGTGTGTGACACTGTCATGACTTGTGTGACACTGGTGTGACTTGTGTGTGACACTGTCGTGACTTGGGTGTGACACTGGTGTGACTTGTGTGTTCGTCGCAGGAGGACCATCAGCTGGTGGTAGTGAATGTGTGTGACACTGGTGTGACTTGTGTGTTTGTCGCAGGAGGACCATCAGCTGGTGGTAGTGAATGTGTGTGACACTGATGTGACTTGTGTGACACTGGTGTGACACTGGTGTGACTTGTGTGTGACACTGATGTGACTTGTGTGTTTGTTGCAGGAGGACCATCAGCTGGTGGTAGTGAATGTGTGTGACACTACAGTGACTTGTGTGTTTGTAGGAGGAGGACCATCAGCTGGTGGTAGTGAATGTGTGTGACACTACTGTGACTTGTGTGTTTGTAGGAGGAGGACCATCAGCTGGTGGTAGTGAATGTGTGTGACACTGATGTGACTTGTGAGTTTGTCGCAGGAGGACCATCAGCTGGTGGTAGTGAATGTGTGTGACACTACAGTGACTTCTGTGTTTGTCCCAGGAGGACCATCAGCTGGTGGTAGTGAATGTGTGTGACACTGATGTGACTTGTGTGTTTGTCGCAGGAGGACCATCAGCTGGTGGTGGTGAATGTGTGTGACACTGGTGTGACTTGTGTGTTTGTCGCAGGAGGACCATCAGCTGGTGGTAGTGAATGTGTGTGACACTACAGTGACTTGTGTGTTTGTAGGAGGAGGACCATCAGCTGGTGGTAGTGAATGTGTGTGACACTGATGTGACTTGTGTGTTTGTAGGAGGAGGACCATCAGCTGGTGGTAGTGAATGTGTGTGACACTGATGTGACTTGTGTGTTTGTAGGAGGAGGACCATCAGCTGGTGGTAGTGAATGTGTGTGACACTGATGTGACTTGTGTGTTTGTCACAGGAGGACCATCAGCTGGTGGTAGTGAATGTGTGTGACACTGGTGTGACTTATGTGTTTGTAGGAGGAGGACCATCAGCTGGTGGTGGTGAATGTGGGTGACACAGTCGTGACGGGAATGGTGCAGACAGAGTGCCCGGTGAAGCTGGTGTTCCTTGACTGTGGCATCACCGCCTCCCTCAGCAAAGATGACAGACTCAAGTTCAGGGAGGTCTTCACGGCAGTGGTGAAAGGGGAGGTAACTCTACTTCATTACCATAGTTGTGTGGGTTGCTTGAGTAGCATTAAAGTGTTGGATGAAGCATAGGCGGATCCACCACCCCCTATTTTGAAAACTGAATGTACATTGTTGTTGGCAGTAAAATTGACTGAGAGACGATTTGATATTTTGGATCCCTTCTTTTGATCTGCCCTTGTAAAGCATCATGCTGAATGGCTTGGTTTGATTCCCATATTATATTAGTGCATTGTTGGAAGCATATTCTTGGCCAATATATTCCTGTAATATTGCTTAAGTGGAGCACAAACACACCCACTCACATGGTAATTCTATTATTCATTCACAGTGTGTATTGACGACAATAATCAAGAAGAATGATATTATGACAGGATATAAATATGTCTTCAGCAACACATACTTGAGTAAAAGGCGACTAAGCTTGTCGTAAGAGGCGAATATGCTTGTCGTAAGCGGCGACAAACGGGATTGGGTGGTCAGGTCGGGTGACTTGGTTGATGCATGTCATTGAACCTAATTGTGTGGATCAATGTTCATGATATCAATCCAGACTCGATTATTTACAGACTGCCGTCATATAGCTGGAATATTGCTGTGTGTGGCGTTAAACAACAAACAAACAAACAACAGTTTATCTATAATCTGTCATCTGTATTTGATAAGAATGATACAAAAGATTCACCCTTGAAGATCTGGGTAAGAAGAGGTCTTCAGCAACCCATGCTTGACGTAAAAGGCGACTATGCTTGTCATACAAGGCAACTAACGGGATCGGGTGGTCAGACGCGGTGACTTGGTTGATGCATGTTATCGTATCCCAGTTGTGTAGATCGATGCTCATGATGTTTATCACTGGATTGTGTGGTCCAGACTCGATTATTTACAGACAGCCATCATATAGCTGGAATATTGCTGAGTGTGTCATAATGCAACAAACAAATGGTAGACTAGCAGACTAAATGTTACTATGTTAATTCTCCCACAGGAAAAACTGTCTTGGCCCCCCCCCCCCCCCAATTCCTTAAGTACCCGGCGGGCTAAGGGTAACCCTAGAACACATCTGGCGTGTTACTACTTAGCCCCAGGGTCAGCGGCAATCAGTCCTCCTAATTCTCTATAAACGTTAATAAAAACATATTTTTTCATATATTCTTTGTTATGTTTGCATAAATATGAGTTTATGCAATAACAACATCGCCTACCGGCACGATTAGGCTATCTCCATTTTTTACATCCATAACTCTTCAATCCACAACTACTTTCCTTGTACCATGCTGGTTGTCTACTTAGCCTTTACACAGGTCTCCACTGTGTGCACAGGTACAGCGTAAATACACGTGTCCAGCACCGCAATTAATATGACCCATTCAAATATATTGTGCATCTGCATAACAGTAGTATATACTATATTTTTAATTATCCTGCATTACTCCTTAATGCATATTACTGCTTGTTCTTGAGAGAGAAAAGAGCTGTGTGAGGGTCTTTGCTTGAAGAAGTTGCTCCAACTAGCTGAGAGGCCAAACCATCACGCAGCTCCCACATGACCAAAGACCAAAGGCAGTGTTCCCAGTTATATGCATTAGGGAGTAATGCAGGATAAGTATACAAATATAAAAAAATATCTAGGAATTTACTAGATATATATAAATCATAAAAAATAATTAACATTATGCTTTATCAACTAACAAATTCATCTATCAAACAATAATACCAACAGTGACTCGGGTAATTGACCCACAATGCATATCAGGTAGCACTTCTTATATTCGCCATATTGAAGAAGTTCCCACGCATGAATTATTTTGTTTACCCATCTCCCTTTGAACAATTATCTGCATGTCATCTTTTATTACTTTCTCACCATAGCTTGCCTACATACTTGCCTCCCATCCATACCTTTGGGGACTGATTGCTGATTTGGGCCTCAAAACATACTCCCACAGGAGAAACTGTTTTGGACACACACACACCCCTTCCTCTTTAAGTACCCAGCATGCTAAGGGTCACATCCAGCGTGTTACTACTTAGCCCCAGGGTCCTAATTGCCCAATCCTGTATATACGTTAATAAAAACACATATTTTCATATATTCTTTGTTACTCATTGTTTGCATAAAAGGCGACTATGGCGACAATTGGTTCAGTAAATGTGCATTATGATTGGCTGTTGGTAGAGAATTAGCCAATGGCAATAATTCTTTGATTGATGTCAATATTTATTTTAGAGTAGCGTCCCTAAATTGAAATACAAAAACCAATTGTATTTTGTATTTTTGCAGCGGGAACTCCAAGTTGTGTTTTTATATTTCACAAATGGAAAAGGCTTGACTGGCTGGTCTGGCTTAATAATACCTTTATACACATGGCAAACATGATAAAGGATTTCCTTGTATGCCTCCATAGTACCCATGGTGGGAATCGAACCCGGGTCTTCGGTCACGCTGAAGATCCGGGTTCGATTCCCGACATGGGTACAATGTGTGAAGCCCATTTCTGGTGTCCCCCGCCGTGTTATTGCTGGAATAGTGCTAAAAGCGAGTAAAACCATACTCACTCACCCTTAATTAAGTGGTTAAGAAGTGTGACTGACACAAAAAAATGCAGAGGAATTTCCTTCTTTTATTTATTTTGACTGAATTATGTTATATACCTTTCTTAGAAAAAGTTAATACTCTCATTGCATACCAGTGAGCATCCTTTATGACTTCCTTTAAACCCTATGATGTATCTACATTTGTCTTCTAAATTGCAATTACCTGCTGGTTACTGATAAAATCTTGGCAAAATGTGTTTCAAAACAAAAACGCCTTGGCTACATGAGGCTCACAGCTAGGGTTAAAATATCATTCTACAAAATGAAATCTAACTTAATCTTTATCACTAACTTCATTTGTTTTCCTCCAGAGCCCCTGTGGTTAATGATTTAGGAGCAGGATGCATCTGTGAAATACTGAAGTTGAACCCTGCAGTTTGATCACTCATATCCAAAGTTCACTTTATGACTACAAATTGTTGGAAGTTTCAAAGTTCAGGCAGGACTGGTCTTGTTCTCATTGATGACATACTGTAAATGTTGAAATTAACGCAAGCGTGAATTAAATGCGAAAAATGCGAGTGGTCTTTGCTCGCATTATTAATTAAACATCGCATATATATCAACAATAAGACATTTTGGATAACAAAAATACCAACTTAGACATACACTGAAAACAATGTCATATATAAATATATATATATAAACAATGTCATTCAAACACTAATTACATCCTGTGAATTGTCACTGCCGGGGTCAAGACAAGAGTTCTACTCACTTCGGTCATCACTGATCACACCTGCAAGTCCAGACAGACGCCACACACGCAACACGGTGTCTTTGTTCTTTGCGACTGCATCAAAGGCCGACAAGAGCCAGCGCGCATGCATTGTTTTAGCGGACATACTCTACTCAGCGCTAATAAGTGGTGCTATTTGGTGTGTGATTAGATTAATGTAAGGTTGGATTAAGGTGAGGATTCTCCTGTAAATCTGACAGAGGACAATTTCTTTAGCTATAAATCCACTGATGCTTAAGAGTGGTGGGGGGTGGGGGTGTCGCATTCATATTGAGTCGCATTTTTGGCTAGGGGTCAGTGGTCGCATTCTTTTGGAGACGCATTAATTTCACGATTTACAGTACTTGCTGTGGCGTGATTGAAATTTCAACATACCAGCTGAAAGTTATGTGTTATTCCAGGGAGAGGTGGTTGCTGACTTGTTCCTCCACAAGACGGCCCATGTAGAGTGCTCTGACCCCCAGGCCTTCAGACAGGACATGGCGGCAGTGGTGATGCAGGCTCGACAGGCCACTCTCAGCTTGGCCCAGGTGAGGAGGCGGAGACACAAGGCGGGGAGATAACTCTAATGTTCAATGAAAGTCAATCTCATTAATATCAGTGTTAGTTCTTGCTACTGTTAAGCAAAGATCTGAGGACATCCCAATACAGGTCATGTCAGAACGACCTTTCATCCGACCAATCAGAGTGTCACTTACCAATTCAGGAAAGTTACAGTCGGAATGTGTTTTCTAATCATGCAACCTCGAAAAGGTTCAACAAAGTTCATTCCAAATGACAGTCATTGGGATAATCGACAGTCAATGGGATAAAAATTTGAACAGAAGAGACGTTGCATAGCCGGTGATAAGTTCTGTTATACATTCATGACCATGAATTAGATATTCCAGAATGTCCTTATGTTCAGTTTTCGAATTTTAAATCGATAACTTTGTCAGGTCTTTGAAAGGCATTTAGAAGTGATTTACATAAGGAAGAGAATATATGGATGTCAACTTCTTTATTATGAGGAACACAACGTATCGGAGTATATGCTGTGTCCATTCTTACACCTGTCAGTGCTAATTACCCCACCCCACCCCCATTTTACCAGTGGTCCATTACTAATTACTTAGATCTGATTACTTAAGCGTTGGCTTCCACTGTCTATTGCTAATCTTCTTATCAGCGCCAATCATCTGCTGGCTTCCTTTGTTAGCTTGTACCCCTTGTTAGTTTCGACCTTTTGTTATCTTATTAATTTTGTTGTTCTAACATGTACATATATATATGCTCTCTGCCTCATGACATTCATTCACCTGATGAAGGAGTTAGCATATACTCCGATACGTTGTGCTCCTCATAATAAAGAAGTTGACATCCATATATTCTCTTCCTGATAACTTTGTCAACATATTTTTTAAGCGTAGCCTGGCATGGAAGTTGCCAGTTTGAAACTATCTGTAAAGCTTGCTATAGCTGCTTTCTGATTGGCTAAAGTCGACTGCATGTTAGTCATTTCATTAGTTCATGAAAAGCGGGGGTAATCATCATCATCATCATCATCATACTTGAGTAAAAGGCGAATATGCTTGTCGTAAGAGGCGACAAACAGGATCGGGTGGTCAGGTTGGCTGACTTGGTTGATGCATGTCATAGATCCCAATTGCATTGATCAATGTTCATGATGTCAATCCCTGGATTGTCTGGTCAAGACTCAATTATTTACAGACCGCCTAAAACAACAAAGCAGCCTAATACAACAAACAAACAATGATTATTATTATTATTATTATTATTATTATTATTATTATCTAAGGTTGTGAACATACTGATTTTTTTATAGTTTAAAAAAAAGGAGATAGATATTTTTTTCTTCAAGCATACTCAAGTATATTAGTAATTAGTTGCTAGTGTGATGAAACTTACTAACTTACAAAGTGATGTCTCCTACCCCTCGCCCCCACCCCCCCCCCCCTCTCCACCAAAGGGAGGGGAGACATATTGTTTTTGGCTCCATTCCCATCGGCATCAGCATTGGCATTGGCATTGGCATCAGCATCAGTGTTCCAATCCTATTCCAAGCCATGACTTGAAAACCACTCAGTGTTTTTCAACAAAACTTGCCATATCTATGAAACTGCTCATATGCATTGGTCATCCCCTTAACTGGTGCAGAGGTGAAGAGAGAGGGAGAGGATGAGGATATATGTTTTTGAGTAAAAACACATTCTAGTGTAGAATTCTAAATGGAACATTTGCCTGTGAGTAATGGGGTCTGGACCAGCCACACCACTCTATCATCATTTGGATTTGGGTCAGCTCATACAGACAGCATGGATCACAAGGGACCTATTCTGCCCTGAGGTGTCATTCCACAACTAGAGTTTTCAAATGCATGTTTTTCTTAAACCATTGTCGGCTCATTGCTTTCAATATCTAGAGGATCGCGGAAATTCCACATATTTAGAAGATGTTGATGTTCCAGATACATGTTGCGGAACTGTTGTCGGAAGTGTTCCGGGTTCTGAGGACACATCGTGTGAAGCTGGAGAGCAACTTTGCCAATGTGATCCTTGCCATAGCTGTGTTGGAGGGACTTGGGAGGTCACTTGATCCACACTTGGACATCCTGGAGAAGGCCAGACCTGTTCTGATAAATCAGTCGCTGTCTTGAAATGTTATACAATGTCTTGAGATGTTATAAAATGTCTTGAGATGTTATACACTGTCTTGAGATGTTATACACTGTCTTGAGATGTTATACACTGTCTTGAGATGTTATACACTGCTTTCAGTGTAAGAGGACTTGGTATTTCATCAAAAATGTTTCTGTGTGCCCAACACTTGGAGTCTGCTTGTCCTCTTGGTGGCCTGCGTCACCGCATGTCTTCCTTATACAAGGGAACACACCATAAAATAATTGAAATTCTACTGAAAGAGTTTTAATTATTTTGGCAGGATGGTATAATTATTATGATTATGTATTGAGATTGTTACATTTGACATTATTTAGGAGTTTATAGAAGTTTCTAAGTATATGAGGTTTGTTTTTAAGAGATTATTGTCTTGCAGTGTGTTGTGTAGATATTGAGATCATACACAGAGAGAGAGTGTGAGTTGTAGAACCTTGCATGCTCAGTCTGGGGACATATTTAATTAAGGATCGACTGTGTATTTTTTCGGTTTATTGAGGTATGAAACTGATGTGCAAACTATGAATCCGCGCCCACAAAGACAGTAGCCAATCAACAGAGAGTAGGATCAAAACAAAGTTCAAAGGACCTGTCAATCACGGCTGTTTCAGACGACATGGTCAGTTACCGCCACATTCGAACATAATTTCCCTGAGAACGGGAAGACACAGTTGGAAATGTGCGGGTTAGAAATGAAACCTGAAGACATGAAATTTGTGGAACCCAGGTGAGCGGGGAAAAACACGCCAGGGAGCCTGCATGTTTGTTGTTTCATTCCTTCTAGGCCTTCAGCCTCAGTGGGTAGTTTGGACAATGCATACACACTAATTTTGCTAAATGTCCTGTGTATAATGATACACGTGAGCAGAAAGCAATTTCCCTCGACTGTAATATGGGGATCCCCCGACATTCCGTTAAAAGTAGTCCTCGATGGGAGTGGCTTATTTTTTACATTCATTGGGAAATGAATGCAATGACATGTGACCAATTCAGCTAATCAGAATGCAGGAATTACAATGAACACAAAGGAAATCTAATTATTACAATGATGAATGTGAAAGTGTCCTTTGGATAACAAGTTCCGTATGTTTTATCAGTTTTTTAACAGGTTACACAACATCTAAATGAAGGATGCATGGGTTCTTGAGCCAATCAGATGTTAGCTTCTTAAACAGTGTGGCTTCATTTCTTTTATACCACCTTGATTTGGTAACCTCACAGAACACAAATATTCTTTTGATGGTACTCCTGTGTGGGTGTAGATGCTATGGCGCTCAGAAAGAACAGAGTGTATATTACAAATATAAACACTATTATGATGTTGCCTTTATTATTTACATTCAGAACTGGTCATTTTCAGTTCATTTACGAGATAGATATTATGGTCCTGTTCTGAGGAGCAAAACCTTCCAAATGGCATGCTTGTTTTCTTGGGGGAATTAGTCAGTCACAGGAGACTAATCACATTTTTATTAACAAGAACAATTAACAATTTACAATATCTTAGAATATAGCTGAGGGTGCCACAGAGAGTCGGTACAACCCTCTCGGCTGTGGGAGAGAGGTCTGCTTGGTTAGAGCGTCTAAACACCTTCTGCCTAACATCGTTGTTGCTGCATTAAGTGTTTAAGAGGTCATCTTCTGCCTAAGCATTTTCGGCTGACCTGTATCTCTTTGGGACTCCTGTGTGTGAGTAGGGTACACGTATCTATTGTGCGTTTGGTATTCACATAATTTCTGTTTTTGTATTGATATGATTTCTATTTTCTTATATTGATATGATTTCATTTTTATCCTTGGCTGCTCTGATTATATACGTTCGAGTAGCTGTCCATCTCTCAGAAATAGAGTTAGTTTGGCCTTCGCTATTGCATCTCTTGACTTTGGGAGATCTATGACAGATAGCGGATCTAACTGTAATTCTTGTTTTAACCTAGACCGGGCTGGGGCATGGTCTTGACATTCTAGTAAAACGTGAGCAATGGTTTCAGCCTGATTGCAAGATGAACAAACCTTGTCATAGTGCTTTTACTGACCGAGTCTGAGGCGCGAGATAGCAATTTCAATTTTCCTTTCATTTGAGTATGAGTTTGGCTTTTGTTGGACCTTGGGTTGAATTTTGTATAGCCATCTGCCGATCTTACTTGCGTCCCATTGGGCTTGCCATCTTTCTGCTATGGAGGCTTTGCTTTTGCTTTTTATCTCTAGTTTACTAAAGGGAATAGGCTGTATATCCACTTTGTCTAGAGCTAGCTTCGCCAGTGAGTCAATAAAAAGGAATATTATTGGTTGATACACAGTGGGGTGTGCCCTATGGTTAATGATTGACTAGACAGAGGGGAATACTTAATCCTGTTAATCCTGTTGGACTGGCACTAATCTTGTTGACATATTTACTGGGTGCTTGGAAAGAAATTATGGTTTCACATATAGACAAGCTTGTCTGGGGGCTAATCCTCAATGAAGTATTTGGTGAATGTTATTCTAATATAGGTGATGACAGATTTACTTAAATACAATAGTTCAAGGCAATCTATAAAACTATGAAGACATATCTTTTGTCCTATTAAATATTATATGTGGGAGATGGGATCTTGTTACCCTAGGCTCGTATTTATCTAAAAGCTTTAAATCTATTAAACTATGTAGACATAACTTTTGTCTTATTCAATAGTATGTCTGGGAGATTTGTTCTCGTTACCTTTGGCTAGCATCTATCTTAAAAGCTATAACTGAAACTACTAATATTTTGTATCTGCATTTTCCCTTGATTAATATGTACTACTCACCGCTCTATAATTATATGACACCTTGTATAAATGTTACACAATGATAACTTATGAAAGCCCTTGCTGTGGATCTAATTATTATATGAAAATTTAGTATACATGTTATATCATGATAACTTCCCCAGTTAGATTCACTAACTTGTACAGAGAATTTAGAAGTATGGGCACTGTTTGGCTGATAAGAAAGGTCTTCCCCGACGTCCTATGGCCGTGTTGTTAGATCTTCATGCAACTAGGTATTGTAGAATTTATGTTTATGAGATTGATTTGATTCTTCCATATCAATCATTACCTTGGTTACTATGACCATGTTGACCATTGAAGAAATATGTAAAAAGGTTTGGCTTGTGCTACCTGAAAGCACTGCTAATATTTTATATATTTTGATATTTATCATTGTTATTGTATGTTTTATCTTTTGAAATACTGATGTCTACATTTTCTATGACAAAGACATGTATGAAATCAAGCATAATGAATCATAAAGAGTCACAATGATTAAGCTGTGTTGTTATATGTTTCTCGTACCACATATCTTGAACAACACACACAAAATAGTTCACATGTGTACAGTTGACATGTGTCTAACAGTTGTACAATAAACATGTATCTCATACTTGTACAGTTAACATCATGCATATCACACATGGACAGTAAACATGTTTCTCACACTTGTACAGTAAATATGTCTCTCACACTTGTACAGTAAACATGTCTCTCACACTTGTACAGTAAACATGTCTCTCACACTTGTACAGTAAACATGTCTCTCACACTTGTACAGTAAACATGTCTCTCACACTTGTACAGTAAACATGTCTCTCACACTAGTACAGTAAACATGTCTCTCACACTTGTACAGTAAACATGTCTCTTGCACTTGTACAGTAAACATGTCTCTCACACTTGTACTGTAAACATGTCTCCCGCACTTGTACTGTAAACATGTCTCTCGCACTTGTACAGTAAACATGTCTCTCACACTTGTACAGTTAACATGTCTCTCACACTTGTACAGTAAACATGTCTCTCACACTTGTACAGTAAACATGTCTCTCACACTTGTACAGTAAACATGTCTCTCACACTTGTACAGTAAACATGTCTCTCACACTTGTACAGTAAACATGTCTCTCACACTTGTACTGTTAACATGTCTCTCACACTTGTACAGTAAACATGTTTCTCACACTTGTACAGTAAACATGTCTCTCACACTTGTACAGTAAACATGTCTCTCACACTTGTACAGTAAACATGTCTCTCACACTTGTACTGTAAACATGTCTCCCACACTTGTACAGTAAACATGTCTCTCACACTTGTACAGTAAACATGTCTCTCACACTTGTACAGTAAACATGTCTCTCACACTTGTACTGTAAACATGTCTCCCACACTTGTACTGTAAACATGTCTCTCACACTTGTACTGTAAACATGTCCCTCACACTTGTACAGTAAACATGTCTCTCACACTTGTACAGTAAACATGTCTCTCACACTTGTACAGTAAACATGTCTCTCACACTTGTACAGTAAACATGTCTCTCACACTTGTACTGTAAACATGTCTCTCACACTTGTACTGTAAACATGTCTCTCACACTTGTACAGTAAACATGTTTCTCACACTTGTACAGTAAACATGTCTCTCACACTTGTACAGTAAACATGTCTCTCACACTTGTACAGTAAACATAAAGTATCTCAACTCACTCACACTGTCTGAAATCCATCCCCTCCTGTCCAGGGTTGTATGGAGAAAGACACTGATATCATTGTCAGCTGTCTATCCCTGAGCTTCAGTGATTGTGTTTCATGACAGGGTATTGTGTAACCGGATAGAGTTAACATCAGCTTCATTAGACAAGGCAGCTTGGCATATGTATGTGCTTGATCAATAGTATCCATTTCAAATACCTGCATCCCCGGATATTCTGTGGTGTAAGTAAATGATATCACCAGATGCATTTATAGGTTCCTGACATTGGGATATCAAGATGTGTTCTGAGTGTCTTCGTTGAATTAAGCTGAATGAGAGACCTTTGTGCCCACAGCAAACACAGTCTCATTCAAATCAGATCTTTACTCCGATAGATACCGCTGTTACAGAAATCAGATACGTTCACTCACACCGAGACTTCAGGAGCCTTGTAGCTCACCTGACCTAACCTTCCAAGGTATCCTCAGCTGTTCATGCAGAGAGGAATTGTATTGGTTGATAAAAGATCTGACTTTAATGTAATAAACTCAACCTACAAATGGACAGCAACAGTAGAATAGATTTTTTGTTTGTTGTTCAAGGCTATATCTGTCGCAGACGCACGTAACATGTACGTGTGTATATGGCGCCTGTAAATATCCGAGTCTGGACCAGACAAACCAACAATTGAAATTTTAAGCATACAACATCATCATCACCAAGTCATGTAGTCGCTTCTTACAAGAAGCAAAGTTTATTTAAAAAGCAATGCTGACAGCATCTTATATTAAGATGCTGTTTTTGTTGACGTTTTAAGCTATTGACTACATATCCAGGTGAGCTACAGTGCTGTGGCACTATTTTCAGATGAACCAAATGGGTTTTGAATGATATCCTACTTGCTAAGACTGCCAATTAGTCCAAGCCTTGTCTTCTTAAACTCACAAAGAGGGTTTGGAAGCAAGGCACAATTAACACCAGGACAAAAGCCAACAGGAAAGAATGCACAGGACACCTCCTGACATGATAACATCACAAGTAGAATAGTCTTCAACAATACAGTATTACAATGTTTTCAGAGAAACAATATTGATTGTTTTGTTGCTATTTGTTGAGGAAGACTTCAAATTACAGAAACTGCCCTTGTATGAATATAGATACATGTAATAGAAGTTGTGGCTGTGGAACTCATGTGTGGAGTTGCAGAGATTATAACCTTGAGGGCTCTTTGACATGTTCAGGGAGTTACAAAATTACATCCTACAGGTTATGTCAGTCCCTCAAACAGAGCATGAAGCAATAGCATCCAGAACTTCCTACACAAGTCTATAAGGGGCTCACAATTTGATATTCTGAGAGCTGGGATTTTGCCAAAAAACAGATATTGTTCCAGAAAAAATGCTTGAAAACAATAATTATGTCAAAATACTGTCTGCCTTTGTTTGCTTCAAAAGTAATGTGTGGTAATGTGTTTATTACAAACAAATATCCAGGCTCAGAGTAATACCAAATCCCCTCCCCCCCAAGTTTAGTAGTTTGAAAATGTGATTCTCTTGACTCCTTTCTATAATTTATTAAATGACAGCTTAACCAAGAAAAACAAAATTTATTTCAGAAGCTAAATCTCTTGCCTTGTCAAATGATGTCTCAGATGTCTGGGAGCATTTGTGGTAGTTAATCAACTCAGATGTAACATCTCAAATATCCGGATGTAGATTTTCCTCTGCAGCCATGAGCATCTCACTAGATCAGTCAACAGGGAAGTGTCATGCTGATTATAACAGAATGCATTGCTCTGTCCACAACTTGACCCAGTTACGTGTAGGTGTGTAGTAAACTACCGGTACTATTACGCCCTGGCGTGGTGTTACGTCTCGTATCACATGCTGTAGGGCGATCAAGTAGTTTGTCACTCAGAGGTGTCAGTCAGAGTCATGTGAAGACTGACATAGATCAGACTGGGCAGGCATGTGATACAATATTACACAGAACATGCTTCATTGCGGTGTGCTTGTATGCATCTTTGTTTTACCTACAATCATCTTCAGTTCTGATTTTTCATTAGAAGCTGTTTTTATGCATCCTATGATTACACACTGTGTTAGTTGGGATTTATAATAAAACTTTTGCCTCTATCTTCAATTTTATCTAACTTTTTGCATGGAAGTTAAAAAAGCCAAACAATTAATATACTGTGGCATCAGCAACCATAGCAGCTGTTACACATTTGAATATGGGCTTAGGAACATGCATTATAAGGATATATTCTGGCTTACATGTATTCATGTTAACATCAGGAACACACTATGGTAATTTGTTTTATGATGCTACTTTCATATTGTGTCAGTCAGTAAAGACATTACTGACGAAAGCTAACACTAGCCACTTGAGATCATGACAGCTGTGCACGTATGTGTGTACCGTAGTCGCCATATTAAGCGCCCCCCTCACAAACTACGACTAACCTGTAACTAATCTTTATAAGCGCCCCCTACTAGGACAAAAAAATTTACATCACAGTCCATAGTTTCTTGTGTATATTACAAACTTTTAACAGATGTCAGTAGTGAAGAAGGGTCATATTATTTCCCAGTAATCATTATCGAAAAATAATTTGTTACATTGACGTTTGAATTGTTTGTTCAGTACTGTTCGATCTCCGAAAACAAATGTAACTGGTCGAATATGGTTGTAGTATTTTTTTCAATTTTCTAAGCGTTCAGGACACTTATTGCAGCGAATAGAGTATGTGGTGCATACAGCATGACATCCACCAGGTGCACATTGTGCAGCAGGTGCTTGACACTGAACTCATGTTTGCATATTTGTTTCTGCCCTTACCATGTCTACTACATGTTGTCAGGTCTGTCATATTTCCATTTACTTCACCATTTTATCTTCACGACACCATTTTCATGCAGGTCAAGAAATTAGGTATGCTGATCATGTAAAATGTGTAATAAACACACATCAGCAGTTATACTATTGAAATATGGGCAAAATATACAAATGTAAAACATCATTACATATTGTAATAGCCCCAAGAGTTTCATGGGATTCCTGGTATAGAATAAGAGGTATAGAATAAGAGGCAACTTAAGCTCTCAATGCTGCAGGCGAACCCATTTGACAGGCGCATAGTCAGAGAACATCCCCAAATAAAACTTGCAATTACTGTTTAACGATTTAAACAGGTTTCTTACATGAAATGCATCACACCTTCAATAACGAAATTCAGGTTAGTTCAAGAAAATGTACAAATATTATGTTTGCTTTGGTCTAACCTTTGGTATGATTAATAATATCAAGATATTTTTTTATATTGTGAATTGTAGTTTTCTATCAGGAATAAATGTGCTTAATATTTCTTCAATTGTCCCTTGTTTAATGAAGCACTGACTGTTTGAAATCATCCACCCTCTTTACAGCGCCTTATGCTGAAACAATTTAGCAGGCTGGAGGTTAATGGATAGGGTGGTGAGGCTTGGTGACTGCTTGTCATTGTACCTGATGAACCCCCGACCCGTGAAGATCAGGGGTAGAATAGGTCTTCAGCAACCCATGCTTGCCGTAAAAGGCGACTATGCTTGTCGTAAGAGGCGACCGACGGGATCGGGTGGTCAGACTCGCTGACTCGGTCGATGCATGTCATCGTATCCCAATTGTGTAGATCAATGCTCACGATGTCAATCACAGGACTCGATTATTTACAGACCGCTGCATATAGCTAGAATATTAATGAGTGTGGCGTTAAACAACAAACAAATAAACTTTGAACCCCTTGCTTGTAAGATCAGATAAACGAGGATGAGCTGATCACACTGTGCAACTTTGCTGACTGTGTCACACTGTACCTTAAATACCCAACCACTCTTACTGCCTGGGGCATGGATCACGTCATTCATCACGAGGTTACTGTTCCAATTTGAATAATTAGTATTATTTACAGGCAGCTGTGATATAGCTGAAATATTACCCATTACAGTGTGAATAAACAAACACATTTTAGAACACTGGTTCATCAAATAAAAGCATGATATATTGTCAAAGTGAATACATTTTATGTTACTATCCTCAGTCTGGACATCAATTGAACTTGTTGAGGCTGAACACACAGGTGGTGTTATGTCACTGTACAAAGTATGAACAGCCTGTGGCGTCCATCTTGTCACCTGTCACAATAGCATGCTATGTATCATTTGTACATGTTGTATACTCACTGCTGATGCAAAGTTGTATAGACTTTGAATTAACATACAGCGTATAGGGGGAAGGGGCTGCAGGCGTGTGTACTCACCCTTATTGTGTACTGAACATAGAAGTTTTATAGGTGATTCAGCATACAAGGGTAAACTAATAGGAACACAATAACCATCAACTAAATCCTATATTTACCTGAAATAACAAACAATCGACATTTTTAATTATTATAAAGTATTCAGTGATGCATTTTATTTGTTGTTTACCAACTCACTCAGCAACATGTAAATAATCATGTCTTGACTAGACAATCCAGTAATTGGCATCATGAGCATCTATCTACACAACTGGGATACGATGACATGCATCAACCGAGTCGGGGAGTCTGACCACCTGATCCCGTTATTTCGCCTCCTATGACAAGCATGGCTTGCAGAAGGCCAGTTCTGATCTGGATCTCTTTGGGGTTTCTTCAATCGAGTGATGTAAAGATTATAAAAGAGTAAATGTGTACAGTTTTGTTACCGTTGCCTACTGGTTGACACAGCAGATATCTTGGTCCAAAAGTTTTTATGATTTCGATATCATTATTTCTGGGCAATAGCCAACCCTGAACTATTGATACATCAATCAGATCGCCCCATGGGTCTATACCTGTGACACTACTCTGGGTGAAACGATACACCAAGGTCATGATATGATAAATGTCACGACACTCGGGTAACAATGTGATACGCATATTTACATCAAAACTCACGGAATCTATCAATACAGTGAAAAACGTATCGTGTATCGGATCATCGTATGAAAACTCACGATGCACCAGTGCACAAATGTACCGTTTCACCCCTATACACTAGAGTGCTATCAAACGAAAAATGTTTCACAGATTACATGTATTCACCATGCAATTGTATTTTAATTTGTGGTCACAAAATGCATCCAATACACTGTCTCTGCACTTGCAGTTCAGGGCTGAATATGGACATAATGGATTTAAGAGATCTGAATTGTATCTGGCTAGTTGTGTTTCTGTAATAGTCTTCTCACTGCCTGAGGACAATTTCCCATGCCCATTTGTCATGTTGACAATTTACTGCAGTCATATACTTCATGTCAGCTCAAGGGACCAAAGAACAACTTACCAATCATGCCTAAACATGGCACCAGATGTCAACAGTGAGGCATACACCCTCTTGTGAACTCATCGCTAAATTTGGAGGATTCTTTTTCAGGATGTCGACATACCACAATGGTGAAGCTAATGAGGAGTGTGGTGGTACAGACACACCAAGGATAAAAATACAGCCAAATCTGGGATTCAAACTCAGGATAATCATATCCTGGCATGACACTGGTTCTGAAGTCACAGGCCGCGTCATACCAAAAGACGTTAAAAGATGGTACTTGTTGTTACCCCGTCTAGCGCTCAGCATTAAGGGGCTAAAACAAGGACTGGTCGGCTCAGAGTCAGTATACTGTGTCTGAGTGGGGTATTCATGTTAAACTGCAGCATGGTATCTCAGTGGGCTAGCACTATAAATCGGCATCAGTTCGGACTAGTTATAAGCAGCCACACACACACACACACACATGCATGCACATGTTAGTGCAATAATCTTGGACGCGACGTTAAACCCAATTTCACCTCACCTCTGACATGTCTGAAGTCACAATATCCATTTATTGTCACTCCGCAGAGCAATGACTCCTATATCTCACTGCCAGACATGTAATTATAAGTGATGAACCCACCATATACATGTACCCACTAGACTTCTTGTGAAACATAAAGCAAAAACTTGGAATTGGTTACACTATTTATTCAGACTTTTCTCCATTTCAAATATATACAATTTTAAATTAATTTTTGAGTATGTTCAATCTCTGCCGCTGATTGAGCAAACATATTAATGCACTATGAAACAATCTGGTCATATACACAGTGAACGTCTACTGCTAGGCCTACAGTGATGAGTGGTCAATATTGTAATGAATCTGATTCACCTCTATTCATCATGGTCCATATTACTGGCATCCGAGGGGACATTTGCTAGGTGGGTGTGATTAACTGAAGGAAACATATGTTCATTGTAATAAATAAAATAACAACATTATCTGAATTATGTACATCTTGATCTCTAAAAGGGATTGTCATGATATTGCCAAATTATTGCTAAAAGCAGCGTAAAATCATACTAATCGGCTCAAAACCTGTGAAAACCTGTCAGGCTGCAATTTCTTATGAATCATATATTAATTGAAATTTCATGACAGAGAACAGGATTTCAAGTGAGCAAGTGAGTATGGTTTTACGAAGCATCAGGGGTAACACCATTCTTCCTCTCCAACGAGTCAACAGCTTGTTTCAGAGAAGTGGTTTGTTTATGTACAAAAACTCAATTTTGGCAGAAAACAACTAGTCTCTCCAGATTTTCAATAGACTTGGACTAATGAACTGGTAGCCGTGTAAATCCCTGAGCTTTTAGCAATATTAAAGCTGTATCAAAACAAGGGACATCATGACAATAACTCAAGACCCTCCAAGTAGGATCACATGTACCATCTTGTAAAATATATGTCTTCTGTATATATATCAATATATCTATATACCAACAAGCATTGTGCAGGAAATAAATGATTTCACTGGAGGGATATCCTGGCTCGTTAGTAGTGATGAATTAGAAGTCGTAAACCATTTCTTCAGTCGCCACTGGACATCATCTGATAATCACTCATGTAAATGATGATAGCACAGTTTCGACTGTCCATGTACAGACACTAAAACAGCTGCTCCAAAATATGTAGACATATTATGATTTTGGAAACAGGATCAACAGCAACATCTTCACAGATAACAAACATCATTCTTGTAAAACTTCTAAACATATACATGTATAAGTATCTGTACCGAACGAGGAATGTCAGCTACAGCAGCCTGAATTAGATTTCGCTTTCTTTCGTAAATCCACTGTGTTTCCATGGGATGTCTTAACTTCCACTTTGTCTTCCAGTTCGCGCAGTCGTTTCACGGCAGCCTTGAATGCCTTGTCAACATTTGTAGCGTCTTTTGCACTGGTTTCATAATAAGGAATACTGCCATTGTGTCCGCACCAAGCGATTGCTTCCTCGTCTGAAACTATGCGCTTCTCTACATCCACTTTATTCCCAAGGACGACAAAGGGAAAGCAGTTCCCATCCTGAATATCAGCGTAATACAAAAACTCCTTCTTCCACATCGACAGGTTCTTAAAGCTCTGCAGGTCATCCACAGCATATGTGAGTAGACAGCAATCAGCGCCTCTGTAAAATGGGGTCCTCAAGCTCTTGAACCGCTCCTGCCCTGCCGTGTCCCAAATCTGCATGGTGTAATTTTCTCCATTGACCTCGACATCTTTGTTTAGAAACTCTACGCCTATGGTGTGGAAGGACTGAGAATCAAATTTATTGCTGACAAAACGATTCATCAACGAGCTTTTCCCCACTCCACCATCTCCCAGGAGAACCACCTTGAGCAGTTTGGATTTCCCGGCTGCCATCTTGAATCACAATGAGGTTCTGTGGACATAAGGGTAAAACTCAGAGTTGTGTTGAAACCTGTTTGTGTTCATAACCTAATGTGAGGGACAGTTAACGCCATGGTCAGCAATATTCCGGCTACATCGTGGCTCCCAGAAAATAACTGATTCTGGGCCAGGCAAACATGATTGCATGATCAATGTCTCAGGGTACAGTTTCACAACGATACTGTAATGCTATGACTGTCACTCCCTACTTAAACCAGTGTCCAAAATAACTGACTGCCTGCCCTGAGCACCAGCCCGTCTGCCTATGGCTGGTAACTTTTCTGTCTGGCTGTCTGAAATATTCCTCCACCTGTCTGGCACATAATTTTAAGACTACTTACATATTCAGTTTTATCATAACTTCAAGTAATTGTTTGCATTATTTCAACTGATTCAAGGCACGATTTGTCTCTTATTTTTCGATATTACCATGTCTGAATGCAGGCAGATAACTTTAATGATGGGCAGGCAACATTTATGGGCCACCTGCCTGACTGTCTTGTTGGGTTTTAAAATTATATGAAACACTGACTTACGACAGTATGACTGCTTGTGAATGGGGTTCCTAGCCATCAGGGTATGATTTACACACAAACAGCTATGTCACACACTGTCAGACCTCACAACAAGCATGGGGTACTGCATGTAGTGGGGACCTATTCTGTGCTAACATTGTAAATGTATCCTGAGACAAAACAACGTGATTTCATTTAACATTTGAGTTTGATGTCGACCTGGTCATCTTGGTATTAAACCAAACCAATAAATTTCCTCAGAATTTGTTTGACACCTTAACAAATTTCCAGCATTTTTTAACATGTCTAACACCCGACTGACTAATTGCAAGTGAAATTTGGGTTCAACTTTTAATTCACATCATATTTTGATTTGGAGCATAAGAAATCACCCTTGTTTGAGCATTGTTGTTCAGTGCATGCCAAAGTGTGCATGGATATGATTATCATGATTATGAGGATTTTATCATGAGGCCAATACTGATGCATAACAATACATGTATACTGTTAATTTGGAAAGCTTTAGCCAATGAAATTATTGCAAATGGTTAACGATAGCCATACAATACTTAAATATACTGAAACTGATGCCAAGAGGGCCAGTAGATTGAGAAGTTTTGACACAGACTGTTCACCACATGCTATATTACAATATAACATACTAATAGTTAATTGCGTTTGACCGGAATATTCGCATGTTAAATTACCAGCCAAACAATATGCTTACTGGGTCTTCTAGTGTTGTTTAACATTCTACTATGGCTGTTACGATTCACTCGCGTATTCAGTGAATTGAACCGTATCCATTCATGAATTGAATTCGTTATTCGTGGCCACTAGAATCGAATATTTATGAATATGCAAGCATATGCATTTACATAAAAAAAATACCCATAAGAACATATTTTATGCATAGATTTTTTCATAAGACAACACTCTTATACTATTTAATTTGACAGTATTGTGGTCACTGGTCATCGTTGCATTTGAGCAGATACTAGTACCCGGATAAATGCAGTATATAATTTAATAATATATTTAATAATATATTAAAAATTAACAAACCATGTCAAATAATTCATGTTGTTGTTGCCTCACTGAACATGCTGAATATGACATATGATACATCAACTGCTGACTTGTTATTGTATTCATGAATTATTATTCCTATTCATTACCCTATATTCATGATACAAATCGTGTTCGCCTCATAGTGTATTCGTTGCAGCCCTAATTGCTACTATTCATTAAGATGATTAAACATGATGAATTTAACATGTTTAAGGAACACTATAGTTTATTATATATTTATTTACTATATGACTAAAGTTTCTAAATGCCATAACAGCATTACCATGATTACAGATTAACTGTAGTTAAATGAACATATGGGGAGTTGTACTTTTTTTTAGTAATATACATCAGATACCATTGAAATCCACAACCCAACACAACAGAGGACCACATTTTCTTACTGCAAAACCCAATTAGTCATGAATCATGTGAAGACCATGATAGAAAGTGATGAACATGCTATCTCACCATATCACCCTCTATCTCCTGGTGAATATATACCATGCGCCACTCACTTGACCAGTTACATTCCAGGCTATCATCAGATCAAGGCCACATGTGACAAATATATATAAAGGCCAGGTAGATAGGATGTATTTGCTATCGGGTAAATCTGGACCTAAATCTTTGCCACTCCAGATTATTTTCAGAGTAGTAATCTAGTCAACAGATTTGCTTCCCTGTTGAAAGCATTATCAGGATCATACAAGCGAACATTTTACAGTGATTTATCATATACCCATACAGTGAAGAGTACAGGGTGTGCACCCTCCCCCTTTTTTTAAGCATACTGATAACTTTCACATATACTGAACTAAAAGGTTCGGGATCATGAACTATTTTCATATACCGTAAACATTAAAGAAACTCAGTTTTCACTAATGTAAAATCCCCCATAATATTCATGCTTCTTAACGCTTTTTGGTTCAGTATATAAGAAAACATAACTTAAATCATTTGGTGACATGTTTTCAACAAACACTACAATAAAATGACAAAGTTTGGGCTCTTAAACATGTTAAACACAAATTGTGTTATAAGTACTTAAGCATGTTGCTTATGCTTACGTGCACCCATACCTTGTTTTCAAAAATTTGTATCCGCACTCTTATACAAATGGCATGGCCATTGTAATGTTATATTGGCCTGATTGCATCTACATTAGATTTAATTACAGATCAAACATTCAGTACTGTTTAAAAATATTTAAGAATTGTACTTATGCAACATCATGGACTCTGAAATTATAATAAAAAGCAATATTTGTTCATCAACTCTCACTCAGTTGCATGGATCTTCTACATTACTGGGATTTATTATTTTATGGACCCACTGACCCTAAATCACATCAGTTATATGCTTGTTTATCTATCACCAACATCATCAAGATCAGTCATCAACATGATGAAATTACAGTTATAAAAAGTACACAAATACGATAACACAAAACAAACATGATAACAAATCTATCTGAAGTAAGTGGGAATTAAATTATCTTTAAGGGCCTATGGCACTCTGCTTAAAAGTTTTACAAGTCAAACAAAAACATTTTATATTATCAACAAATATTGCTGTGCCACCTTACAAACAAAAATACAGTCCCTCGCAATAACACCCTAGATGATACCGCAGATTTGTTAAAACACAGGCTATCATCCATTTCCTTATTTTCCCCACAAACACACATCTTCATGCCATCTAAAACACCGTACAAACAAATCTGTACTGAATTATGCAAGGTAATCCTATTTTCACACTATCTGGTGTTCATATCTGGACTTGTGTTTGTGACAAGTCTGTCATAAAGACCCTGAAACAAATATATCCAAACTGCCCATGCAAGTCTAGATTACTGCAGTATCTACAAATAAAGTGAGTCTCTGGGCTCCTTTTTATATTAAATTTTTAAAGATAAATTAACAGGGTTTTTTCTGTGAAATATGTTCATTTCAGATATTTAATGTCAGTCTAGTTTGTAATGTATTTTATTCATGAAGGTAAACCCCCACCCCACTCACCCATGTGTGTACAGCTGACAGCTATTTCCACTGTAGTTTATGAGACAAAGGCACACAGTACTCTTAATCTTTGCATGTAAAACAATGTCACATAACAAGAAATACAACTGAAATAGTTGAATCATGTTGAGTGATATTTAATTGCAAATTTCTCATCGTCCTTGACCAAGCTTGTTATCTCCTGCATGTTCATTGACCTGAAGCCATATGATGTAGTCTTTGACTGCACAATTTACTAGCCGTTTAATGTTGAGTGTGTGATAAACCACTGATGCCATCTTAGTAAGAATTGAATCGACATACAAAACAGAATCTTGATTTAGTTCAAAGGATTTTCGGACTGACATATTTGACCTCTTTTAATTGGTAACTAACACAAGTTTCACTCATATCCCTGGTCACAGGTGACATATGACACATCAACAACTGGTCCAGTTCATACAAATGTCCATGAACACCTGCACTCCAACTAGGTCAACACATAGCAGTGTCCCTCCCACACCATAGTGAGCAGAAGCAGATTGTCAGTAGCAATGGATATTATACATAATATATAGTTGGTCATGTTAATAGTTCGTACAGCAAGCTGGTCCCAATAACAATGCAGTCTAGACTTGCACAGTCCCCAAAATAAGTTTTGTTTTAGATTATATAAAAACAATTTAGTGGCATATATATATAAATACATGATCTATATACACAGGGTCAGAAACAGTTTTTGTCCACTAGTCCTTATAATGATAACATATAGCAATACCCTTAAAATGGGCCAATTTCTACTAGTCCTTAGGATACCTTTACTATTGGGCAGTTTGGTAAGGACTACAGGACTAGCGCCAATTTCTAACGCTGATATATACATTTATTTTAACTGTTTGTCATAACATAGTAAAATGTAGCATAAATAATAAACAGAGGAGGTGACAAACAGTTAAAATAAATGTATGTTTCTTGATTAATGCCTCTATCAGCAATATTTCAGCTATATGACGGTGGTCATTAAATAATCATGTCAGGACTTGACAATCTAGTGAGTGACATTATGAGCATCGATCTACACGATTGAGATACAATGACATGCATCAACCATGTCTGCGAGTCAGACCACCCGAATCCATTTGTCCCCTTTTATGAGTGAGTGAGTGAGTATGGTTTTACGCCGCTTTTAGCAATATTCCAGCAATATCACGGCGGGGGACACCAGAAATGGGCTTCACACATTGTACCCATGTCGGGAATCGAACCCGGGTCTTCGGCGTGACGAGCCAACGCTTTAACCACTAGGCTACCCGACCGCCCTCCCCTTTTATGACAAGCATGGGTTGCTGTAGACCAAATCTAACCCTGATATGATTTGAACTGGTCTGTCACAACTCAAGTGTGTT